AAACATCACAGCCCATGCTCTTTAAGTGTCAGTGCTATGAAAAGTGCCACACGTGCTGTCCCCTTTGCTCCTCCGGGGCCTCCCTTCTAGATAGACATGAGTTGTGTTTCCATTTTAGGTTAAGAAATTAAAACTTTGGGCCTAGGGTGAAACACCACCCCCATGTTGGAGTTGCCTCTCCAGAGCCTGGCATCCTACCAATACCCAGTGGCACCCATGTGGACGCCTTCTCCTGTGCCCTGTCCATCATCTGTCACCTGTGGGCCTGGGCCAGTGCAGGAAGCAAGCCGTGGCACAAGGGCCCATCCAGAGTGAGAGCCCGTGGGGGGGGGTGCCGGGTGGGCTGGGGGCCAATTCTCTCTGAGGCAGGCTTTCTTCTCCACCAGTGCCCCACCCAGCCGCACCCATGCCCACTGCTGCCAGAGCCCAGAGGTTTCCTTTTTCTTCGTGCCTAAGGCTGTCTCCTGCCTTTCCTTTGAACTGGGGTGTCAGCTCCCCCACACAGTCACCCTCCTCCAGCAACCCCCCCAGGCTCCTTCAACAAGGGAGGGCCCTGGGGACCCCACTTCCTGGAATTACTCCACCCCTCCTTTGCTCTCTCCTCTCCACTTTGGTCTGGGTACTGCTGCCTGGGTTCTCCCTCCCCGATTTCCCTCCCACTGCCAAGCCCTCTCCCGGAGAGCCCCGCTCCACACTGGCGGTGGTAGCAGAGGGACCCCGGGTTTCCATGCCTCTCCTTTCCCGCTTTCGGGCAAATGTGGAGCGCAGAAATCCAGAGAACCCCCAGGACTTAGCTAGGGTGTCCCCCCCCCCCAGAGGGACTCAGGGCTAGAACTTGCAGACTCCAGCTTCACAGCGGAAGTATGTCAAGTATGTCGTCTCAGAGTCTGCTAGAGAGGCAGCAGAGGCTGGACCAAGAAGACAGCTGACAGAGAGATACCCGATACACACCCTCCCCAGGGCCAATGTTCCCTGACTGGTCTTCTGCTTCCTCGTCTGACAGTCCTCTGAGGACCCTGGCGGGCAAGCTGGAGGGCAGGCTGGGGTCCCTGCCTGGTCACTCCTGGTCACCCTCCTCCCATTGTATGAAGTCTTCAGACTGTGCCAGCTGGTGGGGGCAGCAGTAAAGTTGCTCTGGGTCCCCAGGGTAGCTACCATTGCCTACTTGGCAGTGAGTATGCTCTCCTACCGTACATACACAGACTTGTCCTACAACTCTTATTGAAGGCTGCTTCTCCTCTTTCCAGTGCTGGCCCCAGGGTCTCCTCCTCCAGGAAGCCTTCCAAAACAACTGCCTCCTGACTCTGGCTCCCTAGTGTCAACACATAAACACAGTTCTTTCCACTTTGCAGACCCTATACCGAACCCTCTGCAGACATTACCTCAGTGAATTCACACAGCAACCATTTGAATCAGGTATTAGCTTCATTTATAGATGGGGAAGCCAAGTCACGGAGGTGCCAATGAACTTGCCCAGGTTCACCTAGCACGGCCTTTACACCACTGCCATCCTCAACCCTTCCATCCTCTCTCTCTCTCTCTCTCTCTCTCTCTCTCTCTCTCTCTCTCAAGACAGGGTTTCCTTGTGTAGCTTTGGAGTCTGTCCTGGAACTCACTCTGTGGACCAGGCTGATCTCAAACTCACAGAGATCCGCCTGTCCCTGCCTCCCAAGTACTGGGATTAAAGGTGTGCGCCACCACTGCCCTGCCCGTTCTCTTCTTCTCCATCTGTCTGGTTACAGGCGTCCCTGGGAAATGGTGAGGGACGCTAATCACCCTGAATTACACACAAGCGTGCACACGAGCACACATGCACACCTGACCTTTCACACAAACCCTCTGGTTAGCACAGCAATCTTGAAGGGAGTGAATTCCCCGGGAAGCAATGAGCAGCCTGGCACAGAGTAAAAGCCCTGGCAGCAGTGAGTAAAGAAGTGGGCGCCTGGGGGTCACCACCGTGTGTGAGCCTCTGGGTGTTCGCAGCCAGAGCTACAACCCTGTTTCCTGAACATGCTCCCCAACACTTCTCAGCATGGGAGGGGGACAAAGGAGGGACTCCATGCAGTTCCCCAGACTCCCCTGCTCAGGGTCCATTTGCTACATGTATGTTTCTGTGTTCATATGTGCTGGGGTAGCACAGGGACACCTCTCACTCACAACACCACTGCGGTGTCCCAGAGTCGGTGGCTCCTTCCTTCCTTCCATCTCTTTCCATAAGGGGCCTCGCCCAGGGAGACACACAGAATCCAGCAAATGTCACTGAGGCTCACCCACAATGAGGGTGCAGGGATGGGGGAGCCCTCTTAGAGACACTTGAAGAACTGTGTATAAATGAATGACTCCTAACTTTGATCAAACAGGGCTGGCACTGGGCCCCAGAGTGCTCGTGGTTTGTGGACTTGTGTATCAAATAAATGGAAATAAAGGCTTTCTGGTCTCCTCTGAAACTGGACTGGAGGGAGGTGGAGGCAGGCACTTTGTGACAAGTGCTGGCTAGGAAGGAACCTTACTATTCCCAGGTAAGTACTGAGATTCTGTCAAGGAAGCCAGAAGAGGAGCCAACGGTGTCTTCTATGACCACAGACAGGTCCTAAAACTGCCAAGAAGGGAAGGAACCCCAAGATATCCCTGGATCCTCAAGGTCCATCTCTTGCTACCTTTGCAGAGCTGGGGGAGCTCTGCAATATGTTTGATGCTCAGACATGAAGATCTGGTTGCTAACCCCAGAAGCCATGAAAAAGAGTGGGCATGGTGGTGTGCACTTTTATTCCAGCATCGGGTGGTGAAAACAGCAGATATCCCTGGGACTCCCTGGCCAGCCAGTCTAGATCACTCAGTGAGCGCCAGATTAGTAAGAGACTGTCTCCAAAAGACATGCAGACAGCTCCTGGGAAGCAATACCTGAGGTTGGCTCTTGGCCTCCTCACACACTGCACACGCAGCTACATACACATGTACACCAACATAGATCCAAACACACTCACACACACTCACTCTCACACACACTCACTCTCACATACTCACTCTCACACATACTCACACACTCACTCTCACACACACTCACACACTCACTCTCACACACATTCACACACACGCTCACACACACACTCACTCTCACGCACACTCACTCTCACACACACTCACACACACGCTCACACACACATACACTGATGTGTAAAATGCCCTTGCAGCTCTCCTGGGAAAGCAAAGAAGGAAGGCCTCACCTCTGAGCCACCTGCAGACAGCAGATGCCCCTCCTCCCACCTGGGACCCCTGCAGAGCCAAAGCCAGAGGGACAGTCCTCTCCACCTCCCACCAACACCATAGACACCGCTATGCAATTCTCTACATCACCCCCAAAATCCATACCCAGCATTCCCTTCTGCCCTCAGAAACACTCTTGACCCCTAGGAGGACTCAGGAAGACTCAGAAGACCTCAGAGGGCACTGGGTCGGAGTGCCAGGGAGCTGCTGTCAGCATGAGTGGTGGGACACTTGGATCCCCAAAGTGAAACTCTTTACTGCTGTCCTCCAGTCCTGCCAGAAAAGGCCCACAGATTAATCTAGAATGTTTTGGATGCTGAGCAAGGTGGCCTGACCTGCCACCCTCTGGAAGGTCCTGCATCCTCTGCCCTTTACCACAGGCAAGAGCCTTGTCTTCTTGTATCCCCAAAGAAGGTGTCACTCATTTTAGCCACTGGTCCCATCTTCCAATGAAGCAATGTTGTAGACTCCTAATGTGTAACACTGCTAGACATGGGTCCTCTGGGGTGTAGAGGAGTGGGCAGAGCCCCTGTACTCTGCCTGGCCATGGGGTGCCCTTACGGCTCTGCTTTGGATGCCTGTGTTCACCTCTCCATCTCCTCCTGGGCTGGACAGGACTTGTCTGACCTTCTGAAACACCCTTGGTTCTCAGTCCTCACTCCCTTGAGCCCACAACGAAGTCTTTTGAAGTGAAGGGGGATATCCAAAGGAGGCCATAGAGACAGGGAGGGGAGCCCCACTAGGGGCTCTAGATCAGGATCCCCATATTCACTAGGACACTGCCCCTCGGTGCATCCTGGCCCCTTGCTGAGTCTTTTGGGACAAACCCAACTCCCTTTTCCTCAGGTGCTCATCAGGTCTAGGTCCTCAAAACTGAGCGAGCCTCTCCCAAGCCTGAGGGAGCTCTGTGAATCCTACCCAGATTTTTCCACCTGCTCACTGCCTTCTGAGGAAAAGCAGAGAAAGCCAGAGGTTTTCTCTTGCCAGAGCAGGAAAGGGAGCCAGGTGGTCTGGGATGTGCCCCCACCTCCTCCTGCCCAGGTGGAGAGCAGCTATAGCCTCTGGCTGTCTGATTCTGAGACAGCTACCCCCAGTAGGGTCCCCTTCCTGCACCATCTCACCCCAACTCAGACTCTAAAAATGGCTCTCTGGTTTTCAGTCTCAGAGTCTGCCCACAAATTAGTGTCTCTAACTCAGCCTCCTGGGACATGACTTCAGGGAGGCCTGGGGAGGGGGCAGGAGACCTCCACACGAGAAGATAGCGTTGGCAGAATCCCTTTCTAAAGAGAGAGAGTGGCAGGGGCCCCTCCATCAAGAGAAGGGACAGTTCTCCTTCTTGCTGAGGTGGAGGAATCGTTTCCACTCCACGGGGGCACACTTCCCCCACCTCACCCCAGGGCGGTAACTCATGCTTTCATCAACCCTCCTGGTCACTGTTCTGCTGGGGAAGACAGTGAAAGACACCTCTCGTTCTCCCATTTTCTTGCTCAGGGTTCACACCACTTTGCCAGGCCTGGACTCCCGCATTGAGCCTATGAGGGTGGGGAGCACCTGGGAAAGAGCAGGGAGGACCAACGCTCACTCCTTGCCTTTACTCTCCTCTGCTCCCTGGTCCTCCAGTCTTAGGCTGGGAAAGGGAAGAGCCTTCCTAGGATGTTCATGCCCCAAGGCACCAAACGGGGTTTGTGGCGCAGGCAGCCATCACGAATAGCAGGAACGAGCAGGTGAGTACTCACAGGTAAGCCGTCAGGGGGTCCAGGTCCCCTGGCACCACTGAAAGCCCGAGCTCGGAGCAGTCAGCTGACAGCATGATGCCATCCTCCTGGCAATGGCAGGGAGCCGGGCAGGAAGGACGCCCCGGGCTAGACTGGGGGTCGCTGCCCGCGAGCGCCCAGGCGCACAGCATCGCGCAAAGCCACAGCGTCAGGAGTCCCGGCGGGTTGTGCATCTCGGCGGCTGAGGGGGCACCTGGCGGGCGCTCGGGCAGGCGGGTGCACACTGCAGTGAGCGCGCGGCTCACCTCCTGGTCCCCGGGCGGGCCCGAGGGCTGCGCCGTCGGTGGGAACCGCCCCCGCTCTACTTGGCTTGGGCGCGGCGGCAGCGGCGGCGGCGGGACGGTGCAGTCAGAGAGGGGCAGGCATTGTTGAGTGATCTTCGTTATTCAGTTTCACAGGCTGGGCTTGGCAAGGGAGGGAGACACGGCGGGGTGGGAGGAGGAGTCAAGGAAACTTTCTACGCTGTGACTCGCTCCCCTTCCCTCCTTCCTTCTCAGCTGGCAGGAATTTCATCCAGGGGGTTGGGGGAGATGAAGAAAGCAAAGAAACTCAAAGCTAGGACCGGTCAGCACATCGGAGAGACATGCACTTGTTTGGAAAGGGTGCACCAAGGCACCCAGGCCCAACTGCGGGATCGAATTCCTCTTGACTTTGGGAACAGCCAGAGAAGGCCATGGGGGGAAAAAACCTCAAGGGTTTCACAGACACCGGTCCCACGACCAGATTTTACGCTGAAGGGAAGAGAAACACGAGAGAAAGAGATGTTCAAGGTCACATGGCTGATGGGGACAGCCTTAGATCTAGCGTCCAGATCATTCCTCTGCCCTCCATCCTGACCAGGGGAGGGAGGAGGCCCTGGGCTGAATGGTTCCTTGCAGTTTGGCAGTAGGAATGAGGAGGGATCCCCTCATTGAGGAGCCACACCCTGACACCAAAGAAACAGGAGTAGATTCCACCAGATGCACAGGACATGGAAATGAACTCGTGTAGGCTGTCAGATTTGAGGTCTGACAGTCTCGCTTATTCCTGATCTCAGGACCGTTGCGGGGCTGCCCTTTGCACAGCTCCTTTGCCAGAACTTGCCAGCGAGTCGGTGGATTGGCGCCACCTGGAGGCTCAGTGCTACAGATGCAGCTCAACTACCTCAAAGGTCAAAGTCCGTCCCTAATCCATCCCAGGACCTTGGAGAGCAAGGGCAAGCAATGATGGCTTAAACTAAGACCCAGCTCTCTTCTAAAGCCACACCGGATTAGTAGAGCTTTCTCCAAGGGCCCTTTTACTTCCTCTGGTCTCCAGGTCTTTCTCTGAGCCAAGCCTCAGGGTGAAAAGGTTAGAACCCTTTTTGCCCTGACTCCCATGGCCCCCCCCAGAAACATGAGGACCTCAAAGGCCAAGATAACTTCCACCCTTTAATTCTATGCCCCAAACACTCTCATCAGCCCCTCTCCATCCTTTGTGGCACTCTGGGACTCGTGAGGAGAGAGCCTCACAAGCAGACCAAGAAGCCAGAACTCTTCTTCCAGGACTCCAGTTGAGGCCATGATAGAAGTGAAAGATGAGCCCTTAGGAAGGTCACAGAAAGACCCTCCATGGCCATACAAAGCTGCAGGCAGAAGCCCCCTCTGCATCTCCCATCTCGCTTAATCCTTGCCTTCACCTTGGCTCTACCTACACACACACACACACACACACACACACACACACACACACACTTCCCACCCATGATGCTTCGGGTCTCCTACGAAGGCTGGAAAACCTTGGACGGAGCAGCCCTCTGAAGTGGGCTTGAGTAGCTAAGAGCTGAGTTTCTTGTCTGCCCATGGTCACTCAGAGGCCAACTCCTTGGACTCCTGAGAGACGCAGAACTGAAGAAAACTTCCGGGAAAGGGCACCAGAGCCCAATCTCACTTTGGGCAAGCTCCTAGCTAGCAGAAAGTCCTACTTTAAAAACTTACACTTATCTTGTGTGTGGGAGGTGTGGGCACATATCAGTGGCACATGGCACAGCTTGCAGGAACCAGTTCTTTCCTTTCACCACGTGGGCTCCAGGGATTGAACCCAGGTTTGGCATCAAGCGCTCTTACCCACGGAGCCATCTCAATGGCCAGCCCCGCTTTTTTGTTATTTGGTTTTTTTGCTTTTGTTTTTTGAGTCAGGATATCCTGTAGCCCAGGCTGGTCTCAAACTTGTTATGTAGCTGAGGATGACCTTGAATTCTGGTCCTCTTGTCTTCACATCCTGAGTGCTGGGACTACAGGCATTGGCTACTATGCATCTAGGTGACACTGGGGACCAAACCCAGGATCTCATGCATACCAGGCAAGAATTCTACAAATTGACTCTCAGGGCGTATAAAGCTTTTGTTCCCCTTCTTCACCCAGGCCAGAGAAGGACCCTCTCAGACCACCAGTCTGAACCCTTGCACACTAAGAACCAAGTTAGCCTGTGAGAACCCTGGCCACTGCCCCGCACATCCGTTTAAAGGTGCACCACTGTGGTTGGTTCAGGCATCCTTTGTATCCTCCCACAGTCCTCCTCCTGTGTCAATCAGTGCCAATCATCAGGCTCACTGCCATTAGCGGCTGACTTGGAGGTGGGCAATTGCATCCCATAGTGTACAACCCAGCCTTAAAGTGTCTGGGACAGACAGCCTCATCCACACACCTTTTTTTCTTTCTTTTTTGAGGGGTCTCCTAGTCTTCCCCTTCTCTGTATCCCTCCCTCCCCCACCTCCCTACCCCCATTCTCTCCTATATAAAAGAGAGGAAGAAAGTGAAGGGATCGGGAAACTTGGCAGGACCGGCCTGGGCCACCTCTGGTTCCTCACTTACGGGGAGCAGTGTGGCTCTAGTACCTCCTGCAGTGACTGAGAACAGCCTTGGAGACTGGCAAGTAAGCAATAAGGCTGCACAGGATGAGGGATGGAAAACTAAGTAATCCCTACACGTTTGCGGTGGCGAACAATGAATGGGGCTCCGTGGCAGGATGCTGAGGTCTGAGCACACTGGAAAAGCAGAAGGTTGGGGGACCTTGGCCTCCGTGCCAAGAGCATTGCCAGCTGCAGGTCAACCGGCTCAGCTGGATGCAAGCCCCAGCTGTCACCCCTGTCCCAGGTGGGAGGATGGAGAAACAGAACAAAACCATGAGTCTGACCATGCGTCTTTATTTCCTGACTCTGCCCTTTCTCGGCATGAGGCCTGGTGGAGGCTGCTCTTCCTGCAAAGCCAGGCCTGGGACATGATGCCTAGCAGGGTACAGGCCACTCCCCAACTCCGGGCAGTCCATCCAGCAGTGCACTGTTCAGACACTTGTAGAGGTAGATATACTGCTCCTGTGGGTAGACGTAGACAAGATATGCCACCAAGGCTCCCAGGGCTCTCCTAACCTACATTCCACCTGGAAAGGGCATGGTGAGCAGCAGAGCCACCTGGTGGTGGCGTGAATGGGGTTACCTAACTGCCATATGTATCTGGGACAGAACCTGCCTAGATTTGATTCCTTTAACAGTAAGCCCCTCCCTGTTTGCTTCTCACCAGCGTTGGGGTCATGAGGCCACAGGCCTGGGACTGCTTCAGGGCCACATTGAAGACATCCACAGTGCATTCGGTCCCCGCCTGCTGTAGCAGCTGTTCCATGGCCAAGAAGGTGCCCAGCTGGTTTGTGCCCTTGCTGTAATTGACCTAGAGTTAGATGTGGGGCCTCTGGGAATGGGGCAGTGTCTGGAGACATGGGAAAACCCAAATTTAGTCCTAAGGACTGGGAAAGAATGCTAGGTACTTAGCTAACCAGCCGGGTTAGAACCCTACCAAATCCCTGAGGATGGAACAGAGAAGCCAGGGGCCTTGGGAGACTACCCTTTGACCCAAGTCAGCACATGACATTTGTTGACAGCACCTGGAGTGGCTGAGCAGGGTCCCTGGCTTCTTGCTCTTGCCTCGGGAGCAGCACTGGCCCACAGCATCCAGGAAGGGCAGTAAGGTGGTAGCTGGGAGCTCACACCCAGACTCCCAGCATGGAAACTGCAAGCGTTGAACCTGCCTCTCTGTTCCACTCTCCCCCTGGGATAAAGGCAAGGTGGACATTGGTGAAGGGGAGGGTGGCGGGGGAAGCCAGAATGGGAATCTCATTACCCATGCCCTGTGGTCTCAGCACATACATGTATGACCCTGAAGAGGGTACAAGGCCACCCAGCTGTGTTGCTCTCGGCCACTCTGTGCACGGTCACCATGTCTGTGACAATAGGCTGCATCTCCATTGGCCAGAAGTCTTGTGGCTGGGACCAAAACAGGCCTCTCAGTCAGCTTCCCAAATCCCTGCCACACCCCAACCAAACGGCACCACACACTCCCCCTGCCTCTGTCCCATTCCTGGAGGCACACATCCTGTCCCTCCACCCCCTCACCTTCTCTTTGGTATCAGGCAGACCCAGGGAGACCAGCACGTGGGCGCCATGTTCCCACACCAGTTCCCAGAGCTCCTTCGGTCTGGCAGGGCCAGTCAGCACCACGTGGTCCCGACCACACGGCCCACCCTGCAGAGCACAGCTTGTTGGTTCCCCGGAACTGATGTATTTCCTGACCGTCCCACTGCTTGCTCTTGCCGAGGGAGCCCCCCTAGGACCCAGCCCCACCCCAGAAAGCACGAATGGTCAGAGAGCAAGCGACAGAGCCGCAAGATCAGCATCCTCTCACAGGGAAGAGCCAGGCTTCCAGCATGTTGTCAGCAGGGCTCTCCTCCACCAGGGAGAACTGCTTCTGAGAATGATCGCCTGCGGAAGGATGGTGAGGGTGAGGCTGCAAGGGGCCTCCAGCACACACCTGCTCCACTCCACCCGACACCGTGGGGAGTGAGACTCACCGGGGACTGCGCTGTTCTGATCATAGCCAGGAGGGGGCAGCAGAGAGCCAGTCTCATACTTGATGGCCTGCTTCAGGAGCTGGGAAAGAGATGGACACCGTATAAGGTTGGGCAGGTAGAACTGTGCCCCCACTGTCACTCACTCCTTGACCCAAAGCATACCTTGTACTCCTTCAAGAAACCAGCGTTGGCATTGGCTGCCCTCTTGGCACAAGCCTGTGCAAAATTCATCACAGAGATGGGGCCGGAGCTGGAGGGGGAGGGGAGAAGGTGCTTGGTTGTTCAGTCCCTGCTGCCAGTTTCTGTGCTGGGTCAGTGCACCCGAGCCTGGGCCCTAGCGGGAATGCACAGGACACCAGTGCCCACCGGCCAGGACCTGAAGGTAGCTGACTTACTCTGGGGTGTCAGAGGGCCCTTCCAGAATCTTGTTCAGCAGGCAGCTGTGCAGGAAGATGTACTGACTCTGCAGGGAGAAAGCACTGGCCTGTTACGTGACCTTAGTCCAGGAGGGAATTAGTTCCGGCCCCAACCCACCAGGTAGGGAAGTGGCCAGTAGGACTAGGGAGCCTTCGGGGAGCTTTCCCCGAGTTGCCCACAGTGCTGAGGGTGGCAGGGGCCAGTCCCTCCTCTCCTTTTACGGAAAGGAGTGTGGCGGTTCGGGTAAGATGGTAGTCTAGGAGTGCCCCTCACCCAGGTGCTTCTGCATGACCCTGAACTTCTTTTCCTGCTCCTGTGAGGTCATCTACCCTCTTCCACGTCCCTGGGTCTAAGCTGCCCAGCCCAGTGCCTGGGGCCCTCACCGGCGTCTGGATCATGAGGGGCCGGTGCAGCCGAAGCATGTACACGGTGTTGAACACGTCAACCATCTGCTCTTCCTCTAGTTGCTGCAGCAGCCGCAAGAGAGCCACAAAAGTGCCTGTCCGGCCCACACCCGCACTGTGGGAACAGCCCCTGAAGAGCTAAGTACTGGAGGGAAAGGGCTCCTCGAAATCCAGAGCCCTTCCCCACTCAAGGCCACGCCCTCCACCTCACCCCACCTGTCCTCACCTGCAATGCACCAGCGTGGGTCCCTTGCCCTGAGTGACCCGCACCTGCTCCCGTACCAGGTCCACAAACTTGAGCAGGGAGCTGGGAGCCTCTGGAATGCTGTGGTCTGGCCAGGTGGTGAACTGTAGCTGCTTCACCCGCCGCTGTTTTTGCTGGGCACCCTGAGGACGGCGGGGGGGGGGGGGGGTCAGCCATGCTGATTTTCTTAACCTCTTCCTAACGCCAGAAACCTTCCTCACTAAGTCTTCCAGGGCGGAGGCTAGCTCCTGCTTCAAATTGAGGGCCATAGCTGCATAGCCCCTGTGCTTGCCCCAGGATGAACCTCTGACCCTCCTCTAGTCTCCTGGGTTATCTCTACCTCCCAAAGATGACCAGGACCATTCTAGTGTCTGGCTTTCCTGCCTCAAGCGGCCCACAGCCTGTGATGACAGTAAGGGGGTTGGAGTGGGCATCTCCAAGCTGAGCATAGGGTAGAAGGGTCTGCTCTGTCTTTGCATCATGTGACCTTGGCTCAGTCTTTAGCTTTCACTGTCTTTACTCCCCCCCACCCCCACACACCGCAGCCAGTGACCAAGCGCTGTGATCCTCATGTGGACCAGGAGAGGGAGTCTCAGCTGTCGTGCTTTCCCCACCAGCCCTGTCCCCTGGGCACATACGTGCTGCAGCTGGAATTCTCTCCTGGTCCACTCCTCCTCGGGCTCCTCCGCCAGGAGGTGGATGGTGATGTGGCCATGGGTGACAGGGGTGGAGTTGGCTGGCCAGTAGTGCTCACACAGCACCTAGGATGAGGGGGTTTGAGAGAAGAGGCATGGTTTTGCATCAAGCCTTGTCAACGCTGTCCCCTACTGTACCCAGTCTCAACCATCCCCACCCATCTTTATTTTTTTAATGATTTACTTATTTATTATATATACAGTGTTCTGCCTGCATGTATCCTACACACCAGAAGAGGGCACCAGATCTCATTACAGATGGTTATGAGCCACCATGTGGTAGCTGGGAACTGAACTCAGGACCTCTGGAAAAGCAGCCAGTGCTCTTAACCTCTGAGCCGTCTCTCCAGCCCCCCACCCATCTTCTTGGTTCCTCCGAGTCTAATGAAATTCTGCTCTTTGCTTCCACCCAGCTCTGAGACCATGTCTTCCAGAAGCTTCCATCCTCTAGCTATGCTCCAGTACCTTTACAGCCCTCTTAGGACTCAGTGTTGGCTTCAGCTCCCTTGGATGACCCTGATTTAGGAGCAGTCTACCTTTTCCTCATGGCCTCAACAGAAGGACACACTCTGCCACCTATATTTGCTCTGGGTTGGCATTGTCCATGCCCAGTACAGACAGGAGGTGGCCCTGGGCTCACAGGAGAGCCTTCCCTGCCTTGAGTAAGTGACCAGCAGGAACTGAATCAAGTCAGGAACTCATGAGCCTGGTCCTTGCCCCACACTTCCCCATCCTAGGTGATCCTGAGAATTCCCCACCAACTCCCAGGCCCCATTCTTGCCTGTGTGCCCCAAGATTACAGGGCAGGGTGGTGGTGAGATCCTTCAAGGAGGGTTTATGCCACCTGCTGGTCATTCTGGGAAGCTGCAGGGCACTCACCCGCCCATTCTCCATGCCCACAGTCAGCATGATGATGATGTGGACTTGCTGCTCCCATACCAGCCTCCAGAAGTCCTCTACCGTCTTCTTGAGCGGCCCCTGAGTGGCGATGAACTCCTGTGGGTGGCTGTAGCCCTAAGGTGTGAGGTACATGTTACCAGACATGTTACCATCAAACTTTCAGCAGTGGATATGATCATATATGACCCACAGGAACCGTGATCATGGAGGGTGATCTGCCACCACCCATGTCCCATTTGGAAGGGGTAAGAAAAACATTCATGAAAATACAAGATTCTAACATGCTCGAAACAGTCCACCCAGTCACCCTCTTCACTAAGCTTGCTATGACTTTGTTATTTAGAGACAGTGATTTATTATGTAGCCCAGGCTGTCCTTAAACTTCTAATTCTCTTGCTTCAGTCTCCTATGTGCCAGAATTTCAGGTGTGTGTCACCATGCCTAGCTCCAGAGCGACCTTCCTAAAACTAAATTGTGTGTGCATTATATGGGCAAATATACATATGTGTATGTGTGTGTAAATATATATATAATATACTCAAGTCATCCATGGCTGTCATTGTCTGGCAAATGGAATCAAAGCCTTCAATGTAATAATCAAGGTTATCCTTCGTTTAGTTCAAGCCCACCTCCACCACCTGACTCTGCAGCCCACACACACACATACACACACATACACACACACATACACACACATACACACATACACACACACATACACACACATACACACACACCACACACACACATACACACACCACACACACACACATTCACACACACATACACACACACCACACACACACATACACACACCACACACACACACATTCACACACACATACACACACACCACACACACATACACACACCACACACACACATTCACACACACATACACACACACCACACACACATACACACACACCACACACACACACATTCACACACACATACACACACACCACACACACACACACACAGCCTGTGCATTCTTGCCTGACTGTTTTCTAGATGTTTCTATTCAGAATGTCCTTCTCTCCTTTGATCTCTTACCAAAATTCTATCCATCCTTCAAGAGATCAAATGTCTCCTCCTCTAAACCCTTTCCTGATTACTTAAGAGTACCAAATTTTCCCTTCTCTCATGCTCCTGAGTGTCATTCTTGTTCCTCTGTCACAACACCTGTCAGACTGTGCATGTTCTCTCTCTTTCTCTCTCTCTCTCTCTCACACACACACACACACACTGTACATGCTCTCTCTCTCTCTCTCTCACACACACACACAGTGGGCTCCTTTGCAAGTGTGTATAAGGTTAAGCCACTCTGCCTCCTGGGGACCCAGTATAGAGCCCAGCACCCAGAAAACCAAATCTTGCCAGATTAACCAAAAGAAGCATGGACCGGTGATAGTTCTAGACAACTATACAGTTAGCACAAAACAGTGTCCTGCAAAACCCCAATAAGAATGTCCCCAGGCCCACAAGTGGCCCTTACTGGGATGAAGTTGGCATTAATGTAGTCAGAATGAGATTCTCCTGCCAGCTGGCTCAGTCTGACCCTGGAGTGGTCATCTGCAGAGAGGAGATGACATACATTTGGAACCAGCACACAGAACCCCTCCTTAGGGCCAAGCTCAAACCCGCTGCCCATACCTCCCTCCTGCTCCCAGCATTTGCTCACAGGGCAGCACGTGTGGGTACCGGTTCTTGGAGGTGTTGTCAGGATGCTCAGCCTCTAGTCTGGGCTGCTCCCTGCCTACCTCCTTCAGCTCCTATGAAGGCAAGGCAGGTCCTAGTTGCTGAGGCAGGTCCATCTTACCCCACCGCAGACAGGGTAGGGGTGGTGAGAATAAGGCTGGGAGGCAGGTCCGGCCCAGTGTAAATGCCCTGGATGACACAGGACTTACCTCAAATTCCTGAAAGAAAGCCTGGTGTGCATGTGCACTCTTGGCCTCATAGCTCTGCCGGAAGCTATGGATGGGGATGGGCCGATGGGTCCGCCTGGCAGAAGAGAAAAGGAATAGATCCCAGTTTTGCATGTGCACTGCCCTGCCCTGGGAGACAGATGCCGAACTAGCTGTACAATATGATCTCGGGGAGGGCAGGCATTGGACATGCAGACCCTGGGCTGCCGTGCCCTCCCTGCATAGAACAAAAAATGTCTCCAAGGCCCAGCAGACCCACAAACCCACAGTGTGAAACGAAAGAGGGGAGCAGTGAGGGAGACAGGCCAGAGGCTAGAGGTGCATCTCCACGCATGCCGGGGCACAGCTTGCTTCCCTGTTTATCTCGGAGTTCCTTTGTGTGGGGGATCAGAGCAGGGCCTGCACAAGGTGGGCAGGTGCTCTCCCTCTGAGCTACGGCCCAGCCTACATGGGGTCAATTCAACAGGAAGTCCATAGGAGGAAAGGAGATGTGGCCCAATTCAATCCATGTAGTTTCTCCGGCTTTCACTTCGCCTTTTACAGTGTATTTTTAATTCCTATCACTTTGCCTTTTATAATGTATTTTTCACAAAATGCTTCTTTTTTTAAGGTCCACATGGTTTGTCAGATAGCCAGGACTGGAGGTGGGGCATGTGATGCTTAATTCATGTCCCACCTTGGCTGGCTCATGGTGTCTGAATTATAAACATTATTCTGGATGCTGGGAAGACATTTGTGGATGGGATCAACATTTAACTTGTCTGACCGACTCTGACTTTAATCTTTTACCTTTTTTTGGTGAATATGTGGTCACATGAAGCTAAGATCGGGTGCCATTCTCAGTCACTCTCCCCTTACTCACTGAGTAGGTGCCTCTCCAATGAACCTAGAGTTCACCATTTTGGCTATTCTAGCCAATTTGTTCCTCGCCACCTTCTGGGATCTGCAACTACAGGTGGCTGCCGTGCCCAGCTGACTACCAGTTCCCACACCTGCAGAGCAAGTGCTGACCCACTGAACCATCTCTCCAGCCCTCTTCAGCTCTTTGAAAGCAGCATCGAAGAATGGGCTTCTCCAAGCAGTTAAAAGCCTCAATACAAGCAAGACTGGCCTGTCCCCACTAGGGGGAGCCCTGCCAGCAGATGCCTTCTCTGGGGCTCTGGCTGGCTACCTCATCAGCTCCCCACTCCTCGGTCCTATCTCTCTGAAAGCCTTGACCTCTACAGTGAGTTTGAATAGGAGGAAAAAGGAGAAGAGCTGAAAGAGAGAGGGGTAGCCTGAGAACCGATGGGAACCTGGCCAACAAAGACTAGAGCCCCTGCCTGGTGCAAGCCCAGGGAGCTTTGCAGAGCGGCCAGCACACTGTGCTGCAGTATCACTGGGAAGAAGCATGTTTCAATGCACTCACCGAAGGTTGTAAGGCATCAACTCATGGGAAAAACCGTCCTTCTCTGGCCTGTGACAGTGCAGGGGCGAACAGGAGGCAATGGAAGGTTACGGGTTACTGCCGGGCTGCTGGCCAGCCAGTCACACTGGGTTTCCCAGCCCCCCACCCCACCCCACCCCCACCTCCCCACCCCCCACCCCCGCACCCTCGTCACCTTGGTCCTTTCAGGCGCCACCAGCACAGCAAGCACAGCACAGCACACACAATGAAGATGCAGCCCACCACAGTCCCCGTCATCACCGTCACGGGCACTGCCACCAGAGAGACGCTGGCTTGGGGCTCTGTGGAAGGGAAGGGACATGGCAATTTCCAAATTGACCCTGCAGGCTGTGCCAGGCTCTCCTGGACTTGGTCCTTCTAGGTCAGTGGTTCTCAACCTGTGGGTCACGACCCACATATTGGATACTTACACTACAATTCATAACAGTAGCAAAATTACAACTATGAAGCAACAAACTAATTTTATGGTTGGGGAGTCACCACAACGTGAGGAACTGTATTAAAGGGCAAAAGCATCAGGAAGGTTGAGAACCTCTGCTCTAGATAGATAATACAGTAATCTCTCTCCATACTCCCAGAAATGTCTGTCTGGGGTTGGGGGTTGGTGAGATCAGACAGACAGACTGCTTTCCTTCTAATGCCTAGCCACATTCCACAGACTCTCCCTGACACCCTCAAGAGGAATGGCGTTGAAGTCCAGGCTTCCTGTACCTGCTAGAACTATGCCATCTGCTGCAATAGCCCCAGCCACGTGGGGTTCTCAAGCACCCACGGTGTAGCTACACCAGTTTAAGATCCGTGCAGTGTGAGCACACAGGAGAGGGCAAAGGCCCAAGGGAGATATATGGAAATGACCACAGTGCTTTCATTTGCTTGGTTTTGTTTTTAGACAGAGTCTCAAGTATCCCAGAACGATTTCCAACCAAATATTTGAGGATGGCCTTGAACTTCTAATTTTCCTGCCTGATGTGGGGTAGATATATATCTATATATATAGAGAGAGAGTGGAGGCAGAAAGATAGGCAGGGCTAGGAGATGAGGAGGATGCTGGGGTAGAGGCAGAGAGGCACTGGAAGGAGAGACCCCATGTAGTGGAGGAAGGAGTAACAGGTCTGGACCCTTCTCTGGTAAGATAAGACCACGTGGAAATATTTAGATTAATAGAAATGGGTTAATAATTAAAACAGAGCTAGGCAATAAGAAGCCCTAGTCATCTGCCAACAGTTTGTAATTAGTATGTGTCTCTGTGTGCTTATTTGGGGCTGAAGCTGCAGTGGGAGCAGGCAGAACAGGAAACTCCAGCAGCACCTGCCTCAACCTTTCAAGTGGTAGGACTACTGGTGTAGTTCACCGTACCCCGTTTATTGAGGGCTAGGGATCCAACCCAGGGCTTAGTCTATGCTAGACAAGCAACCCATCCCAGTCTCTGAATCACTTTTTAATTGATATTTGGAAACCTTAACTTAATCTTAAATGTTCTGGCATTAAAAAAAACAGTTACTAAAGATAAATGTTACTCCTTTCTGTTGTGTTTGTTCCCTGAGCCTTGTTGTTGTTGCTGTCAATTTGTTGATACAGGGTCTCAACTATAAAGCCCTGGCTGGCCTGGAGCTGGGCAACATCCAAGTAACTACAGAGGTGCCTACCAGGGGGGTGAGGTGGGGGTGAGATTAAAAGTGTATGCCACCACACCCAGCCACCTCTCTCTTTTTAGCTTCCAATGTACCCATCAGGAAAGTCTAAGTTAGATATAGTTTGGCTACATTGGGATCTCCCTGAGGTTCCTTCTGGACAGAGCTATTCTTAAACACGGGATCCCGGGAGTAGCCAGTTGCAGAAAGTGACACGGGGAGGTGCCAGGAAGCTGTGCACAGTAGCAACCCCCTCAATGCCTCTGCCTCTCCACTACTTGATCCTAGCCCCACCCCAGGTCTGAAGTCTAGTGCACCTCACTGAGGTTCTGGTCCCCAACACTGCTAGGCCCCCAGGAGCCTCTGAGTGCAGTAGACTGGGTACCGGCGCTCCTCCCATCTCCAGTGTCCAGCCAGAGCCTAGCGGGGGGGGGCCGCTACCTGAGAAGGCCGAGAAGGTGATGATGGTCTCGGGAAGGCTGAGCCTGCTAAAAGCTGCAACGCTGAACCTGGGACAAAGAAGCAGGACTTTATGCCGAGAAGAAACCCTTGCTGAGAAACAGCAATAACTACCTCAGCCAGCTAGTTTCCATCCTGCCCTGATTAGAGGTTGGACAGTCTGTTCCCCATCACCCTATGCAGACCACCTCTGGCCTGTCCTGAGATCAAGAGGTAGCTCTAGCTATAGGGACCTAGAGAGCTTTGGGTGTTTCCTGGAAGTCCCCAAAGAATCCATCCCCCAGTTTGCTTTAACAAAAGGACCATGTAACAGGTGGGCATTTTCTTTTTTGCATTGGTGCTGGAAAACTGGTCCTAACTATGGACACTTGTGGACTGGCACTTGCATTCTGTTTGTGACTCTGTCCCCATCTATTGTTGAAAGAACATGAGCCCCAAGTGGAGTTTAGAGTTCCACCCCCCCACACCCCTGCCCATAGCCCTAGCCCTCACCTATACTGGAAACCTGGCTTGAGATGCCCATTACATATCTCCTGAGTATGGCCACAGTCCTCTGTACCCACAGGCACTGTCCAGGATCTTGGCACAGCCCAAGGCCCTGGGTAGAAGGGGTTGGGGAACAGGGCAGCCAGGTAGGAGTCACATCCTCCATAGTAGTGGTCATACCATGTGTGGTTGACGGCTTCCCGGGGAGGTCGGGTCACTGAAGAGGACCGGGAAAGAGGCAGAGCAGGATGAGCGGTAGGCCGGGCGGCCATCTTATCCCTCTAATACGTACCCCGCTCACAACCCAACTCCACTCTTATCCTCAGTAGCAGCCAAGCCCTTTCCGGCTACAGCCGGCCCTGGCGCTGGCTTTTTATCCAGTCTCTCTGCCTAGACCATTCTCACCTGCCTGTGCCAACACAGCCAGGCTCTCCCCAACCCTTTCGAGCCCAGAACTCACATGACATGTTGTTGGTGACAATTATGCCATACCACTGGATCTGCCCATCGTCTTTGCCAAACATGCCACGTGTGACTGTCACACCCATCCCTGTCCCCAGCTCCAGCTGGGGGGCCTCGGCTAGCTGAGGGGGGTGCCAAACTAGGAACAGAGAAGGGGGAAAGAAAGGCCTTGGCCCAGCATCTTCCAGCCTTCGGGGGCATGCCTTCCTCTACCCAGGACCTCGCATGGCACCTGGTAACAAATGGCTAGTGAACAATTAAATAAGGCCTAGAAGGGTTCTTGGGTTAGGGTACCAGGGCATAATGCTCCAAAATACGAGATAGGGGTCAGAGGAAGGTGCCAGGTCTGTGGTCAAGGAGGGCCCCAGGCAGCCAGGCTTAGCAGAAGGATAGCCCCCAGGGGACAGTGATAGAGAGTCTATCACCACAGAAAGTGGTGGAAAGTGCCTACCCTCGGTGGAAGTAGTGCACACCAGGGTGACTGCCCGGCTCCACAGGCTATTCCTGCCCAGCACAGTGAGGCTGAGGCGGTAGGAAGTGGCGGGCATCAAATTGGGCAACAGGAGAGCATCCTCTGAGGTGTTGACCTGGAAGACAAAGTGAGCACTCCCTGCCCCCACCAGCTGCTCAACCACCACCAGACACGCATCCACATCTCCAACAGGCATCGTCCAGTTCAGGACCAGGTGGTTGGCCTCGGGCTGGCATAGCACATCTTCCACAGGGCCAGGCTCTGGGGGAACAAAAAGCTCACACTGTGTAGGCATCAGTGTTCTCTAAGAGGATACCATTGTCAAAACCAGAGGTCACAAAGGACTGGCGTTTATGCCCATAGAAGGGGCATCACCCTCATGGAGAAACAACTTGTCTTTGGGGAATCGTTGCCCATTTGGAGAGGCATAGAGGTATAGCCTGGGGCACGGGTGGGCAAGACAGCTGCCTGGGAGGCGTGGGTGACTCGGAGTGGAAAGGCAAGACCCCCAGGCATACGACCCTTCCCTTAAGACACAAAACCTACCCACAGATAGCACCACAGGGTGAGTGGAGGCCTGGAGTGGCCCTGCCTGACACTTCACAGACATCAAGATGGTATGTCCCGGTGTGAGGTGCCTCAGCACAAGGCGGTCTTGGCCTGGTGACAGGGGCTGCTCCCACGAGAGGTGTCCGGCATCTGAGAGTTGGGCATAGCACGTCCCCTGCCCCGAGGGGCCACTGGGCCAGGCCAGGTTAACCACAGCACTGCCTGCCTGCATTGACACGAGCAACTCATTGGGTGTGAGGGGGTCTGTGGAGAGAAGGCAGCATGTCAGCCAGGCCCCTGGCCCAGTCCTGAGATTGCCTCACACAGTGCTGGTGTTCGCTGACCTCACTCAAGGCCGTCCGTGTGGAGTTGAGCTAACATGTCCAGGGTCCCCGTCCCCAATGCCTTTTCACCCCTTACTCACATGTCCAAGCAGAAACGTTGGTTGCCGCAGCGTAAAGGGGCCCAGCCCAGGAGATGACCTCCACTTTGTACTTAGTGCCAGGAGTCAAACCCGAAAAGGTTGTGCTGTGTGCCTTGGGTCCCATGATGCTGGTGGCTGTCCGGGCACCCTCCTGGTATAGGGACACTTGGTAGCTGTGCCGGCCCCCAGGAGCATGGACCCAGAATGCTTGGAGCTGGGTGGGAGCCTCACTAGTCACATTTACCAATGTGGGGGCTAAAGGAGCTGCAGGGAGAACAAGTGGGGGAGGGGCACAGATAGAGGTAACATTATCTAAATTAAATATCTTCCCCCAAAAAGACTGTCCCCCAATTCCTCCATCCTTGCCCCAGAGCCTAAGAGTTCAGTGTAGTTTAGGACAGCAGGTGAGTGACTGGACTCTGAAACAGACCTAAGCAATGGGAAGCTCAGAGTTTTTTATCATTCTCTGGCCCTGCCACCTCCCTCTGGGATGGGTGGTCCTTCCCAGCAAAGATCTGTTCTCAGAGCCAAGCAAGAGCTAGAAGCCAGGTTCCCGGGATTCCAGGTCAGACTTCTACCTAGCTCCCTCCAGATGTCTGCGGTCCCACAGTCCTTAGGGGAAGTCTGAAGGACAATGATAGAACCCCAGGGGAAAGAGAAGCTAGAATGGAAGGGCCAGGCAGGCCTGGAGAGACCCTATGGAGAAGGGACAGGCAGGCCTGGAGAGACCCTATGGAGAAGGGACAGGCAGGCCTGGAGAGACCCTATGGAGAAGGGACAGGCAGGCCTGGAGAGACCCTATGGAGAAGGGACAGGCAGGCCTGGAGAGTCCCCTATGGAGAAGGGACAGGCAGGCCTGGAGAGACCCTATGGAGAAGGGACAGGCAGGCCTGGAGAGACCCTATGGAGAAGGTTGAAGTGGGGATAGGCGGTCCCAGCTACTCATATGTCCCCAGAGCTCTGCAGGCTGAACAAGCCCAGGAAGTCAGATTGGTATGAAGGGGCCTTCCAACCCCAGCTCTACAGGCCCTGGGATCTCCTGGATGGTGTTTCCCATATACTCTGTATTTCTATGGCTCCCAGGCTATGTGGGCTGGGGTTGGCTATGGTAGGGGCCTCTACTCTGTTCATACTGCCTGGATAAATATTCCAGCTTTCCTTATAAGGCTAAGGAGGCTAGAAAAAGTCTCTCTGTGTGCCTCAGCTCCCTCACCTATGAATCAAGGTCACACTCCTAAACTTGTCACAGTGAGCACACGACAGAACACGGGTAGGACAATAAGCAAGATGCCCAGTGAGTACTGTAGCTATTGTTATTAACGGTTTACAGCCCAGGCAGGGCTAGAGGTGGACTTCTGGAGAATGGCGTGGCACTGTACAAGGGACAGATATAGGCGTCCCTATGAAGGGCCTGTGAGGAGTTTTCTGGTGCCTCAGAATCAGGAGACCCCACAGACAGCCTAGCTTTCTTCTCATAGGCGCAGAGTCCCTGGGAGCCCAAAGGGTTGGGAAGGAAGATTGTGGGGGTCACTTACGTGTCCAGCCTGTAGCGTTGGCACTGCCACTTTCCTCGGAACCCCACAAGGTAGCCAGCTGTACCTGGAACTCAGAGCCTGCAGCCAGCTGGACCCAGGAGAAGTTCCTGGCCTCTGGGGGCAGGATCTTCTTGCTTTCCAGTGCCAGGGGCCTCAGCCTGTAAAGCCGCAGCTGAAAGCCATCCCTGCCACCTGGTGGGTGACTCCAGGAAGCCCTCAGTGCTGTAGGCTGGGTGGAAAAGCCCAGGCTCAGGTTGGCGGGAGGAGCAGGGCCTAGTAGGACAGGAAGGGACAGACTCAGGATAATATAAATGCTCCTTCCCAAACAAGCTCCAAAGCTCCCATGTGAAGTGCCATCCTTCTGGAGGTTCTAAGCTCAGATTTTAGCCTTCCCAGGAAAACCTCTTGCAGAGACGGGGCCTAACACTCGCCCTGGCCTCACACCTGCCTCCTGCCTTGAGGTATGTGGGCTCCCTAAGCACATGTCTGTTCATGCCACTTGCTTCCTCTACAGCCGGTCAGTGCCTGTTCCTCACCCTTCAGGGCCTTCTACTGACAGCACTGGCCTGGCTTCTGTCGCAACCTAGACTGTGGACCTTTGAGCCAGCTTAGCCCAGGCCCTCCAGCCATCCTGCCTAGACACAGGTTTCTTTTTCAGCTCATCTCCCTCCTCCTCTTGGAAACCCGCCTGACTCCCTAAGCAGGGTGTCCCTTCCATGAGTGTGAAAAGATCAAGTCAAGCCACATAAAATCCCTGATACTCAGCCATGCTCATCTATAAGAAAACAGTTTTGTGTGGTTCAAATTGGTACGTCATGCATATCCCTACTAATTTACGTATTATAATAATATGATGTGTAAAATTATATACATCACCAGTATATGAACCATATTTGTCAGTCTTCCTTTCTGGACTTGCTCATAATTTTTAGCCTTAGCACCTACCCCTATACCTAAAACTGAGAGGCATTAAATAGATATTTGTAAGCAGGATGGATAAAAGGACAGAGGGATGCATGGATAGATGGTCGGATGAGGAGCACATGGATGTGTAGGGCACATGGATGGGTAGGGCACATGGATGGGTAGGGCACATGAATGTGTAGGGCACATGGATGTGTAGGGCACATGGATGGGTAGGGCACATGGATGGGTAGGACACATGGATGGGTAGGGCACATGGATGGGTAGGACACATGGATGGGTAGGGCACATGGATGGGTAGGACACATGGATGGGTAGGGCACATGGATGGGTAGGCACATGGATGGGTAGAACACATGGATGGGTAGGCACATGGATGGGTAGGACACATGGATGGGTAGGGCACATGGATGGGTAGGGCACATGGATGGGTAGGGCACATGAATGTGTAGGGCACATGGATGTGTAGGGCACATGGATGGGTAGGGCACATGGATGGGTAGGCACATGGATGGGTAGGACACATGGATGGGTAGGGCACATGGATGGGTAGGGCACATGAATGTGTAGGGCACATGGATGTGTAGGGCACATGGATGGGTAGGGCACATGGATGGGTAGGCACATGGATGGGTAGGCACATGGATGTGTAGGGCACATGGATGGGTAGGCACATGGATGGGTAGAACACATGGATGGGTAGGCACATGGATGGGTAGGACACATGGATGGGTAGGGCACATGGATGGGTAGGCACATGGATGGGTAGGGCACATGGTTGGGTAGGGCACATGGATGGGTAGGCACATGGATGGGTAGGGCACATGGTTGGGTAGGGCACATGGATGGGTAGGGCACATGGATGGGTAGGGCACATGGATGGGTAGGGCACATGGATGGGTAGGTATGACTAGTCAGCTGCATGACAGGATGTGGAAAGTGCTTGACTCGGGAGTTGCCTGTATTTCACTCCTATGACAGAGTAGAGCAGAGAGCAGAGGATACAAGCCCGCATGTGCAGGGCTGGGCGGCCTCCCTAGGGCAGGGCAGGAACTCACGGGTGCAATTGTGGATCTTCCGCAAGTGGGAGCTGAGGTTCCCAGCCCAGGCCCATGCTGACACAGTGTAGCAGGAGCCAGGTACCAGAGACGTCAGGGTCAGGCTAGAATTGTCAGGGCCCAAGTCAACAAGGTTGCCAGGTGACCTCTGGCTGCCATCCTGATGCCAAGTGAACCTGTAGCCTTCCTGCTGTCCTGGTGCTGGGACCCAACGGATAGTCAGGTCAGATGGGCTGCTCCTGTTAATGACCTCCAGCGACTGCAGTGGCAGGGGGCCTGAAGAGGGGACAATTTGGCAAGAGGACATGTCGCAGCCCCTTGATATCCTCTGCCCCACTCTGCTGGGTCTCCCCGTCACTCCAACTTCCCTCCCCATGACACGCTCCTCCAGTGCCAGACCCAAAGGCCTCAGACACTGGCACTCACGTGTGTAGCCTGTGATGCTCTGAGTGATGTCTCCCACAGATGAGGCAATGTCCACCCGGTAGTGGGCGCCAGGAACCAAGCCACAGAAAGTGACATGGGTGGCACCAAAGGGCACAGAGATGTTTCCTAGGAGGCCTGCAGCACCAGCATCATAGAGTAGTGCCCGCCTCCCAGGCTGCTTGGTAGCTTCCAGTAGTCCGTCTAGCCACAGTCTGGCACCAGGACTCTCCCTGGGGAATGCAGCAGGCTCTGGAAAAGAAGCAGGCCCTCAGAAAGTGAGTGGTCCCTCTGGCTGCAGACTCCCTATGTGGGAGTCTCCCAGCCTGAGCCCTACTCCCATCAGACTCACCAGTCAGCCAGGTGCTGGCCTCCGTCCAGGCATCATAAGGTCCAGCTAGAACCTTCAGTCCCAAGGTGTAGTGTCCGGGAGGCAGGGGTCCTGGGAACACAGCATCGCACTCTTCAGGGCCCAGATTAGTAGTATTCTCCACTGGCCCACTTAACTTCAGTACATAGCTGTCCCGGGCTCCTGGCCCTGCCTTCCAGCTTGCCCAGAGCTCATTAGACAAGGGAGTCAGCACCAGGTCAGATGGGTGGGAGGGATCTAAGGAGACAGGGGTAGATACAGTGGGTAAGAAACTCACCCTGTGCACTCGCCACTTTCTATGGGTACCTGCCAGCCTCTTGTTTGGGTATTAACAGCATCGTTTTCCATACTCCAGATGAATGCCAAGACCTGGCAGTTACCACCTGGCCATGGGTAGCGGTAACAGAAACAATAACTGACCAAGTGCTCACACGTGTGCCTGCCAGCGTGCTCGGGAGGATTCCACACACGGTACAGGTAAACAACTTTCCCAGAGATACACAGTCAACGGATAGCAGAAACGTAACCACCACACAACTGTTTCTAAGAGTGGAAATATGGAATCATGGTGGCAAAGACAGGCAGGAGTCCAGCCTAGGTTCAGAGTCACCACACTTAGATACAGTATGACCTTGGCTTTGGGCTCTCTCTGGGCCTATAGTAACATGGGACAGCAAGACCTACATTAGGCTCTTTGGGGGATTCAGTGGAACCATATCCAGAAAGTGGAAGGCTCAGAGCCTGCCTGGAGATGGCTCAACTGATCATAACTACTATTACCACTACCGCCCCCTCAGGCAGTTTCTGAGTGCCAGTGTCTGAGGCCTTTGGGTCTGGGACTGGAGGAGCGTGTCGTGGGGAGGGAAGTTGGAGTGACGGGGAGGCTCAGCAGAGTGGGGCAGAGGGTATCAAGGGGCTACGACACGACCTCTTGCCAAATTGTCCCCTCTTCAGGCCCCCTGCCACTGCAGTCGCTGGAGGTCATTAACAAGAGCAGCCCATATCTGTTGTGTCCCTAGGTACTCACAGGTCCACTCAGTGGCATTGGGCCCCACGACCCAGTGGGGCCCAGCAACAGCACAGAGCTTCAGCTTGTGAGGTGTGCCTGGAGACAGGTGGAGGAAGGTGTGTCTGGAGACCCCTCGTTTGACCACTGCAGTCAGGTTGGTGGCCCCTAGGAGGTCTGTGAGTATCAGATGGAACCAGGCAGCCCCATCAGAGCTGTTCCAGGAGGCTCGCAGGCTACTAGTATCCAAGGCACGTAGTACTAGGTGATCTGGGGGCACAGGCTCTGCAGGAAGTATGGACAGAGCAGAATCAGGCTTGAGGGAGGACTCTGGAGCAAGATCCTGGACCAGATGTGGCATGAGGGATCCCAGAAACCTAGCCACTCTGCAACACATTGCCTATGAGAATCCAGACTCAACATTGCTCTCGCCTCCCCCAGCCTAGCTGCCACCTGGGGCCCTGGTCAGGCCCCCACGTTACCTGTCCACTGGTGGATGCTAGTCTTCGCTTGGAGACTGCCAGCCCAGGTGATAACCTCCAAGACATACTGACTACCTGGCAAGAGGTTGCCAAAATTGTAAGACAGGATGCCGGGGGACACTGAGACATTGCATGCCAGCGTTTGGGATTCCAGGTGGTAGAGGAGAAGCTGGTAGCTGTCTTGATTCCCAGGGGCATCGCTCCATGAGGCTTCCAGGCTGGCTGGGCTCCCAGAGCTATGCAGCTGTAGTCCACGGACCACTGATGGGGCTGTGTCAAATGTCAAGAGAAGTACTAAAGTCTACACAAAGGGCTCACCATCCTAGGGGCTGTCCCCTTGGGTTTCTCTGCACTGCCCCCCTCCCCAGCCCCACCCCAGCCCCTGCTACCAATCCTCTAGAGCAGTCCCCTCCTGCCCCACCCCCCTCAGCCTGCAGACTTCATACCAGTTTGGGCAGTGAGGGTGACAGTGACATTCTGCCAACAGGGTCTTAGGACAGTCAATTCCAGCTGGTAGTGACTCCCTGGCACCAGGCCGTGGAACTCAAAGCTAGACTCATTTGTGCGAGCCTGGAGCTGCTGCCCTTCTGGAGAGCCCACGGGGTTCAGACTCCTGAGATGGAGGGTATAGTCCAATCCATCTGGATCTACCGACACCCAGCTCAGAAACAGGCTGGTAGGCTTTCCTTGGCTGCTGACATTAATGCTCAGGGGTGGACCTGGGAGATAGGGGTGCATGCACTCAGTCACCTAGCACCCCTTCTGCCATGAAAAGGGATGGCAAGACCAGGGACCAAGGGAAGGCAGAGTCTAGCAGGCAAATTAGCCCTGTGACCGGCCCACTGCCCACCTCTAGAGCCCTCTCCCTCTCGCTCTAAAGACACCTACCTCCGCCCTCCCTGTCTGGGCTCCCTTCCAGTGGTGGGCATGCATCTTCCTGTAGGAAGGAAAGGAGCAGGGGAAGCAGATGTGGAGAGGCCTCTGGAGCCCAGACCTCTGGGAAAGCCCATGGAGTAAGGATCCAGACCAGAGAGAGGAGTCTCCATGTGTTTGACTCCCATGCCCCCTTCACCCCCACCACACACGACTGGAGAGACGCCAGCAGGCAGGAGTCAGCAGCCTGGAAGGTTGGCGCAGTCTGTTCTGGCCTCCGTGCTGGCCTGGGTGGGAAGGGAGCAGTTTCCCTCTTCCATAATGCAGACCAGCTGTGGAGCCCCATAGAGAGGTAGGAAGCCTGAACATGCCCCAAAGAACAGGCCCGCCCACCCCACCCCACCCCATGCCCACCTTACCTCTGCCAAAAGGCCCTGGAGCCAGAGGAGGGAAGCGAACAGGATCAGGGGCCTCATCCCCATAAAGTCTGCAGAGTCAAAACTGGAAGGCAGAAGGTGGAGCTAGCTCCCCTTGCCCTGGCGATGGGCAGGCGGGCAAGGGTGGGAAGGGTAAGGCTTCAGATAGGTGCCAGGCCGCAAATCCGGACCCTAACCCAGCCTGGTCTGAGCAAGGCTGAGAGAGAGGTGAGAGAAGCAGCGTCTGGCTCTAAGGGACTGCCATTCCCAGGTAGTCCACCAGCCCACCTCCTTCCTCTGCTTCTCCCACCCCCACGAGGTATGAACAGTCGGCTCCCCGTGAAGGAAAATGGCCTGTGCTTTGGGGGAAGCCTGGTAGGAGTGGTGGCCTTGAAAACGAACACACAGCAGAAGTACTGACTCCCCCACACTCTGTCCCTGGAAGAGGTCTGGAGTCCATTTTCCCCTCCCTGTGCCTTTTAGTGTTTCCAGGTGGCAAGGGGACATCCTGAACACAGGAGCCAGCTGTGTGTGGCCCCTTGTGTCTGCCTCACTTGTTCTAGTGGCCCGAGTCACAGGAGTACATCGCGTGGATCTAGAGTTCACCTGGTCCTGGAACCCATCTGTCACATCCCTCACTGCCCAGACAGGAAGCTGAGATCCATAGGCCAACCTGGGGTCCCGTGCATGTGGGGAAAGAAGCTGGGCTTGAACCCGGGACTTCTGACTCTACTGAGCAGAGATGGCACAAGGTGTTCCCATCCCCAGTTCAAGTCCTCTCTGCTCGGAAGCCTCTGGGAGTGACTGACGTTTCTGGGGGTTAGCCCCCGCTCCCTATTTCTTCTATGTAGGCCAGCAGTACCCACCTGGCTCCCCAGCCCTCACAGGCACTGCAGGGACCCAGCTGAGGCCTGGCCTGCAACACATGAACTCAGACTCTGCTGCTGCACCCACCCAGAGCCAGCTGCTCACCTGGTGCAGCTCACCCAGGGGCTCCTTCGCCCACTCAGCCGTGGGAAGGGAAGGAGCAGTCGGGCCTCTGAGCCCTGGGAAGGAAGCCCGGAACTCGGCAAGCTCAGGAGTGGGGGGCGGAGGCAGGCTGCACAGGAAAACAGACAGGTACAGACTCTGAATGCCAAAGCAGACGCCTCCTAGCCTGCTTCAGCAAGGAGCCCAGGCCTGCATCAGAAACCAGCTCTGCCCACCCGCTCCTGCTGCCCAGCACCAGGGGCTGCTGTCCGCCCCACCCCCTACCACAGCTCCGTCCAGCCCCAAACCTCAGAGCCTCCCACTGGCCTGGATGGGGTCCTGGAAACTTAGCACTGCAGACTCATCAAATTTTCCAGGCTGTGTGCGTGTATGAGTGTGTGTGTGTGCCTGTGCATACATGGCACTTCTAAAGGAGGCAGGGAAACCGGGGGTGGGGAAGGATGTCTCGGGCCTCAGTCTGGCCAAAATGTCAAGGAAACATCCTAACCTGGTCCTTCACCAACCCCACCTCACCTGGGGACACCTCACTCTGTTTCTTCCAGAAGAGTCTCTATGAGCAGCCACGATGGGCATAAGCGGAGCGAAAGCATCTTAACAGATCTGAGCCGAGGAGACATAGCAGAGAGTGTGTGGGGGTAAAGGGTTGGGGTCCCAAAGTCCCTGAAAAAGAGAGGCCTGTGGAGACAGAACACGCCTCATAGCTAGTCCTAAGGATCCAGCCTTGAGGGTATTGGCTGTGGAAGACCCTTACCAGCCTCACCCTATGAGAGCATCCTTGGGGACAGGAGATAGGCTCAAAAGACGTATAAAAAAGCAGCCCCTGCCCCGACCCCTGTGCCCAGGCCAAGATTCTCTATTCAGCAAAAATGTGCTCCTCCCAGCAGCCACCCCCACAGACAAACCCACATCCTCTGCCTAGAAAACCCCTGGGGTCCTCCCAAGGTCTTGAAGCCTACCGTCTCAGTGTGGAGTGAGCCGGTCAGGAGGCAGAGGACGCGGCAGAGGGCTGGTCCTGGCATCCCAACTTCCAAGTGTAAACTAGCCTGGTCCCTCCTGGCAGCTGTTGTAAGCTGCTCTTCCGGCTCCTCCTCTGATCTCCCACAGCCTGAAGCCAGGCCTTGGGCATCCCCCACGATAAAGGAAGATAATTACCAGGCAGATGAGAACAGGCGCACACTCCCCCTTCCTCCCACAGACTGGGGAAGGTCACCAGGGAAGGGGGAAGGTCCACTTCTACTTTCTACTGAACAGGTAGAGGGAACTCAGCAAGGGGCTGGAGCGGCCAGCGATGTGCTGTGTGGGGACTGACAAGTATGCCTATGCTGGCGCTGGCGTCAAGGACACAGAGGACCCCTGGGGAAAGGGCCATTGTGGGACAGGTGGGGCAGCTATCCATCCCTCTGGCCCTGGACTTGGGAGAAAGGAAGGGAATCTCCTTCAGCTTGAAGTCATCCTGCCTATGAGTTTGGCAGCAGGCGTAGGTAGAGCTGGGCACTCTGGGAAGGCTAGTCATGGTTCCTCCGCGCTGAGCTGGCATGGGCCACCATCGGTCCTCTCCACCAGTGGTAAGGGGTATGGGAAAGTCCTTACACCTGCAGGCATCAAAAAGGTGGCAGGGGGAAACTGGCCAGGCAGGGGCACCTGTCACAGGGGCCTGGGCCCTGCTAGGGTGCCTCCTCAGCCTTCGTGCTGTGACTTAACCGCCCTTCTCTACCCCCACACACCCTGCCTCCTTGGATGTCTTCCGGACTCCTCCTTGGTGAGCTCTGTCTCCCCCACACTACCAAGGACAAGCCCTGGCTTGCAGAGATGAGAAAGTATAGCTACCTCAGTATTTGAGGGGGATGGAGGCACTTGGGGAACAGCCACCTGGCATCCTGGGGCTTCTCCAGAGAGGCCCTGGGAAGGACAGCTCAGGAAAGATAGAGCATGCCAGACCCAGGCCTCCTCCATCCTTTCCATACCCACCCAAAGCAGCCTGCAATGGTACTGGGTGACAACCTTTGCCTGGAGCTGCAGGGGACAAGGACTTCTGGGAATCACAGGAGCACTAGGGACAGTTGGGGTCCCTGGGATAGAAATGATGAGAGGGAAACCAGCAAAGAGAGAGGGGCAAGAAATCTCTGGCTGGTCACAGGACCACAAGTGGGACTCAGTAGGATAAGGCCTTGCTCTGCTGTGGCCCCTCCCAACTCTGACTAGGATCTCGGCAGACATCCTATACATCCTATACCATGCAGAAGCAAAGGGCTTTGCCCATTCTGGGCTGCTGGGAGTAACTCCTTCTAGACCCTCTCCATTGCTAGTGTGGAACTTCCTGAAAAAGATAAAGGCTGGCTGGAAAAGGGGAGGAGAGGAAGGGGTGACCTAGACAGAGACAAGACTCAGCCCCAAGCCACTTCTACCACAGGCGGGGCTCCCCAGCTCCCAACCCTGGTCGGTTTCTCCTACTACTCTTGTCTGATTCCAAACACTGGGGCTGTGGGCAAAACATTTTACATGCCTCACTCCATCTTCCTGACAAGGGGTTATTGTCCTTATTATCTTCCCCCAGGAGGAAGAAAGCTGTCGGGGAATCTGAATCTGAGACTCAGGGAAGCCAGGAACTTGGCCAAGGCCACACCGCCTTGCTAACTAGGCAGGTCCCTCTGACTCCCAACTATGACTTTACATTCTCTGAAGTTGAAGGTACTGGAACCCAATGCCCAGTCAGAGAGACACATCTGGGAGGTGAGAGATAGCAGCTGGCCAGCAGGGTGTCCTCAGCCCCCAGGTCTGGGAAGGTTCTGCAGAGGAGGCGGAATCACCTTCAGGAGCATCCCAGCAGCGTGGATAAGGTAGAGGCTGTTCCAGAGACAGCAGGGAAGGGCAGATGCAGGACAAGAACATATGTCTTGTCCCACTTGAGGCCTATGGTGGAGACTCTGGCCACAAGCTTTCATGGCTGCTCAGGCATCCAGGGAGTGGACAGGAAGGTGAGCAGACACTGAGAGAACAGAGAGAGACAGAGACAGAGACAGAGACAGAGACAGAGACAGAGACAGAGAGAGAGAGCACTTCATGCCTAAATTGACTCCTCATCTCACCAACTCCCTTCCCCATCTCCCAGCTTCTTTGCTTTCCCCAAAGCTCAGCTTCCGACTTCCTGACCCCACTGGGCCCCCACCTGTGAGGGTGAAGAGGTATGCTCACAGACAGTAGGCTAAAGCTGTGAACAGGGGACACTGGGCAGACCTGTGGGGGAGGGGCTTCTCCTACTTCCTCCTCCCCACCCCTGTGGTGTCCTCACTTCCTTTTCTTGATTGTCATCAACAGCTGGCCCAGGGCGGGTGGCCCTCGCTCTCTCTCTCTCCCACCCCCTCCGCTCACTGCCAGTGCTCTAACGCCCCTGTGGGGAGGTGAAGGCAGAGCCCAGGCTCCAGCCACTGTACACGGTGTGCAGGAATTCCCAGGCTCCTGCTTCTATTACGTCTTCATCTTGGCACCAGAGCCAGCCTTTACCTCAGGCTCTCCTGAGCTTCCTCCTCGGGAAAGCCCACCTATTCCCCTGAGGAGAACAGGCTGCGGAGAAGAGGGAGCCAGAATCAACCAGCCCTGGAGAGGCTGCGGAGAGTCACCCTCTGACTTACTGCCAAGAACAAAGAGGTGTGTGTCCCAAGCCTTCTGATCTCAAAAGGTCATCCCTGGTCCTCACCTCCTCCCCATGGGCCAGAAGAAGGCCAGCCCCTCCTCCCACCTCCTCTCAGGTGCCAACCCTCTGCCGATGGCACAGCATTTCTTTTTTTGTGTGTGTCACCATTTGACAGTTGAATCAGAGAAGTAGGAGGAAGAGAGATGTGGAATGCGAGCTCTGGGGGCCAGGAAGGGTGTTGGGAACATTGCAGAGTAAAAAAAAAAGTCTTGCAAGCATGCATGAACCTTGAGCCAGTTGGGCCAGCAAGGAGCCTGCCAACGCCAGACAGGGGTGGGGGGCTGTGGAGCCTTGGACTTGGGGTCTACTCCCTCTCCACGCCCTAAGCATCCAAGTGGCCCAGTGGTGAAGAGGACATTGGAAGTCCCTGATGTGAGGGCCACAGCCTTCAATTATCTGTAAGTCTTCTAAGGAGATAGATGCAGGGTTCTGAGACACTCCCTGAGGGGCAGTATGAGGGGTTCCTAGAAAACAACCCTAGATTCTTCTCCAGTTTTGCTCTGCTATCTGTTCTCCAGCAACTAGCCTGTGCCTGCAGGCTGAGGGACTCAGAGCCTGGAGAGACCCTCCCTGCTTAGCCCTGGGCTCCTCCTTCCTATATAGAACAAGGAGTCCTCCCTCCTCTTTCCCCCACCAAACCTCTGCAGCACATCTGCTCTGCTCCGGGAAGATATGGCTTGGACTTGGCCATGAATTGCCAGGCTTTGAAGCTGCAAGGGCTTACAGGGGCAGAAGTCAAGACATGAAAATAAACCTCTAGCTAAGGGCTCAACCAGAGGAACTGAGGGTTCCCTGTGGCTATCTTCTCAACCAGGAGACAGAGGGGGGCATGATAAAGAACCCGGAGGTACAGACCTGGAGTGGTCAGGGAAAGCCTCATCCCTTGTCCACTCCCAGAGCCTTTGCACCCAGCACGGATGGCACGGCACCACCAGCTCGATCTCAGAGGGCACAGGGAGGATGCACCCGACCCCTGGTGGCAGCTGCAGCAGGCGCAGGAGGGCAGCCTGCAGCTGGGTGTGCGTGGGTGGAAGCCAGGAGGGGCGGAGGGAGGAAGCTGGCTTCCTGAAGCCTCTCAGTCCTCAAAGATAGACGGACTGACAGACAGCTGGCAAGAGGCAGCCTGGGGGACACAGCTGCTTCAGTAAGTACTTGAAGTGGGCACAGGCATACTACCACCCCGGGGTGGGGAAGCCTTGGAAACAGGGAGGGTGTCTCTGAGGATGGAGTGAGGGAGCATGAGTTTGGGGTTACCATGTCTTGCCAGGCATGAGTAGTGGCATATTTGGTGTCCCTGTGGCTGGAGGGTGGAGGAACCACACAGAATGCCTGGAGAAGAGGGGCAAAAGGCCTGTTCCTGTCATGGGAGAGTGCTGTCGCCGCCACACCTGCATGGGCCCACACTGTTCCAGGCCTCTGGCCCTGTAGGTTAGCAGCTCTAACGCCACCACCATAGCGCCTGCCACTTAGTTCTAGGAGACAGGGACTGCCCCCAAAGGAGATGCTCCCGTCACCTCTGCGCCCCCTCTCTCTCTTGTACCCCCCAGCTGTAGCCTCACCATGCGCTGGCGCTGTAAGGCTTGGCGAGGCCATTTCCTGTGACGGTTACAGAGGCGGGAGACTGGGGGATGGGAAGGAGGAGGAAGGAAACACCCCTAGCCTACCGCCCTGGATAGGGACCCCAGAAGCCACAAGTGATCTTAGAGTAGAGCAGCCAACAATCAGGAGATGACCCTACCAGAAGTGTGGCCTGCCTGCGTCCCCAACTGGTTCTAACGCTACTAGAGGCCTCAGTTTCTCATTCTGGAGGAGCCTGCTGGCAGACTGAGAAAGGTGTGGGCTTCCTCCCTTCCTCTGTGTGGTCGGCAGTCTGCTGTTCTCATTTGGACCCCAGTTAGGAGCCCTGTGGACTTGGTACCCTCTCTCTTCCTCCTTCCGGATTATTTCCTGTCTTCACCCATACCTACACTCTATATCTCCCTCTTCCTCTAACCCCAGATTGTCCTCTGTCCTGCGTCCCAATGAAGAGCTCCTGTACTTACAGGATAAAAAAGTTAGGCCACTTCCTTGGGAAGAGAAGATGCCTCCAGTAAAAACCAATACGATGGCTGGCCTGGGCTTAGGAGATCCTTCTAGTTGGTGAGGCAGGCCACAGGCCAGCAAATATAGGACCTTGTCTTTCAGGCAGGCCTCATGGCTGAGTGAGCCTTCCTTGAGCTCAGCAATCTAGCCCAGCATGGTCCAGACCTGTGAGGAGTGCTCCAGACCACAGCCACCGACCTTGTCTTTGGGGGAAGCCATGACCCAACCTCCACCCACCAAAGCCCCAGCCAAGAAGCATGTGAGGCTGCAGGAGAGGTGAGGTCTTTCACAGAGAAGGTCTTCCTAGACCTGGGTTTCTTTCTTTCCTTCCTCGTACCCAGCCTTCCAGCCCTAACAACAGAGTCCTCAAGGCCTGGAAGGAAAACTAGCAACGTTCATTTGTATGTTGCTTGCCCTTGTATGTCTGAGGCACCAAGTTCCGTGTCATCCCTGGGCCTGCTCCCAAAGTCTCAAGTTGTGATGAGCGATCTCTGGGACCAGTCCGAGGGCCTTCACAGCATTGGCTTGGAGCCTCTGTGCCAGCTTGAGAGTAGAAGAGGCAGGCAACATGAAGGAGCATAAGAGCTGCAGCCTACTCCTTTCTATCTGATAAAAGGAAAGGGGAACATCCTAAGGGCCTGACCCCTGAGTGCCCTGAGCCTCTCGGTCAAGAGACAGACAAGTTCTGGGACGAGCCGTTGACTCGGGATGTTCACTGGGCACTGGATGGCTGTGCTTGCAGAAGGGGCTCCAGTGTGGCTCTGATGCTGGATGTGCGGTCTTTGGGCACCGTGGAACCCATCTGCTCAGTGAGCACACCCAGGGAGGTCACCATACACTTTCTGCGCACAGCCGGACACCCCCCTTACATGCTGGGGTCTACAGCACCAGCCACCCAGCCCTAAGCAGCTAGAGGAGGAGTTCTTGGTAAGAAGTTGGGGTCCCCTCCACATCACGTTGCCCTTCTATATCATGGATGCCTTGGGCCTCTCGTCTCCTTGGTCCTCAGGGAAGAACTCCAGGAACCAGGAGAGAAGGTTGTCCCCATCCTTGCTGTCTCTGTGTGCAGAGGGTGGAAGGGGAGAGAGGGAGGGTGGGAAGGGGACCAGATGTTAACTCACTTTCTCCCCCCCACCAGAAGATCCCCTCAAACTTTGTCAACCCTGAAGACCTGGATATCCCTGGTCATGCCTCCAAGGACCGATACAAGACCATCTTGCCAAGTAAGGACCATAGTAGGGGTGAAGGGGCAGTGTCCTTGAGGGTGCATGCCTCTAATAATCCTAGCACTTGGAGGTACGAGTAGAGGATCAGGAATTCAAGGCCAGTCTTCACCATGTAGCAAGTTCTAGGCTAGTGTGGTTTTTATGAGATCTTGACAAAAATAAATAAAATAAAAAAACTCACCTCAGCCAAGGAGGAACAACAGTGCTTGAGACATCATCTTTCAACAGAGAAATACTAACACCACCCTGGCAGCTAGGAGATAGACAGCGGTTACAAGATAGCATTTGCAGAAGTTTACTGTGGGCCTGTGTGGTAGGGGTGAGTCCACACGGACAGACCCAGGCCTTGCACCTCCCACTTCTCAGAGGCAGGTTTGAGTCCTGGAGACTACTGCCCTGGCTTCCTAAACCTCGGTCTGAATGCAACCCAGCACATGGGTCCTGCCCTAGGCTGAGCCTCCAGGCCCACTGCCTGCTCCAATAGACCAAGGCTCTGAGAACACTCCTCAAAGTGAGTTTGTTAGCCTTTGGCCTTGACCTAAATTCTAGCAAGCTCTACAACCACCAAAGAGGGGAAGCCAGTTCCTTCATCCCTCATCCGGTTTGACTGGGAAAAGACCCACACCTTTGGAGAGAGAGGCCAATGTCCCTTGTGGTTGAGTGATATCTTAGACAATGTATTTATCTGAAGCTTGTATTCATAATCAGAAAAAAGTTTTCCCTCTGCAGAATCTCTTCCTATTCCTATCAGTTCCCTCCCATTTTATACCCTCGCTGATCTCAAGGCTAAAATATGACAATATCCCAATTGGTCTCTGTAGCTTGTGGCCTGTCCTATGCAGCATCATTCAGTTAATATTTCCACTTTAATTATATCACTTTCCTGCCCAATAACATTGTGGATCCCTAGTGTCATGAACTATTATACTTTATAATACGTATGTATTGTGTTACCTGTCTATAAAATAATTCAGGTAAATGTCTGTTGCCCACAAAGCATTGTGAACAGTGTGGGAGCATTCTTTCCTCTGGCTCTATTAGAATCTGTATTTGTTGGCACTTCCTGACCTTTCACCTTCATTGATCTTCACTTCCTAGATCCCCAGAGCCGTGTCTGTCTTGGCCGGGCTCAGAGCCAGGAAGATGGAGACTACATCAATGCCAACTACATCCGAGTGAGTGCCTGCAGCCGAGGGGCAGGACTGCTTTTAAAAATGAAAATGCCACATGACACCATCCAGCTGTGCCTTGGCCTCAGGGGCCTGCATTTCCCTTCTCGCTCCTTCCTACCTTAGTTCTCTCTGCCAGTCTGAGGGGATGGGGAGACGGCACACTGGACAACCCCCAAATCAACTTAGAAAAGAGGCTAAAATCTCCAAACCACCGTGACTGGGGAGATGGCTCAGTGGTTAAAAGCACTGGCTGCTCTTCCAAAGGACCCAGGTTCAATTCCCATCACCCACATGACAGCTCACAATTGTCTGTGACTCCTCTTCCAGGGTATCTGATTCCCCATACGGACATACTTGCAGGCAAAACACTAATGTATATAAAATAAAATAAATAAATTACCAAAAAATGAAATTTAAAAAAATCTCCAAACCACCTTAACCTTGGCTGTTATCCTGTTCATGACAACCCTCTAGACAGGGTGATAAGTTGGCATGGCTGAGCCTAGTCACTAGTTTCTTCAAGACTAGTTGGCTCCTAAAACCTGTGTAAGTGGGAATCTATGTCCCTGTCTCCTCCCCCACTCATTCTCTCCCCAGACCCCCAACCCTGTACCAAGCAGTACCTCCTTTGTAGAGACTGATTGATGCCCAGCTAATTGCACCCTCAAAGCAAGATGGTCCATCTAGCCCAACTTCTCACCAGGTGTGGTAGGTGGATGTAAAAGCAGTGCCCCCTTGTGGCCAAATGTGATAGGACAGTAGATTGGGGTGCAGAGGGGCAAAGCTGTCAGCCAGAAAGCATAGTAGATAGAGGGTCCTAAGCTTGGCAGAAGAAACTAAGCGCACAGAGGGAAGCATGGATGCTGGAAGGATGATGGAAGAGGGGAGAACATATTAGGAAGAGTATGCTGGATTTTGGTGCTAAATATATAAAAGTGATTCATGGAATGTGAAATGTTCATTGACAAATACTGAGGACTATTATACTTGTATTCTAGGAAAGCAACAGAAGACAGGAGTAAACATGTAAGAGGCACCTGCCGTGTGAGAGACTGCCAATATACTTTGTTGAGTTTAATTCACACTATGTTATGAGGTAATCACTAGGTCCAGTCTGTAGGTCGGGAAACAGAGTCTCACAGAGCTATAGCTAGGAAACAGCAGGCCAGGAATTTGAACAGGTGTTTCTCATTGAGGTCCCCATGTCTTCTTCCAACATGCAGCTTCTGGAGTGTGTGTCTGTGTGTTGGTGTAAGTGCTCGTGTTCACGGGCCTTAGCCTGACCCCAGCACCTGTGGAGTGTGAATTCGCACCATCTCTGTCTTTCTGTGCTTTGTCTTCCCAGGGCTATGACGGGCAGGAGAAGGTCTACATTGCCACCCAGGGCCCCATGCCAAACACTGTAGCAGACTTCTGGGAGATGGTGTGGCAGGAAGAAGTGGGCCTCATTGTCATGCTCACCCAGCTCCGAGAGGGCAAAGAGGTAGGAGGCAGGGTCACCCAGCAGGGCTGGACCTACCTTCCTACACCACCCATGCAGAGCAGACCAGAAGCCTCGGTGGTGGCTGACAACACTGACAAGTCCCAGGTCATATCTCGGGGAAAGATTCCTGAGATGCATGCACCCCAAATGTGGAGAGCCAGACTCCGGGCACTGACCTGGGTCAGGGAGTGAGGTAGGAGGAGGGGCACCAGGCCTCTCTGCTGCCCAGCCTTGCTTCCCACTTTGACTCCCGGATCCTCCCTTCTAGAAATGTGTACATTACTGGCCCACAGAAGAGGAAACCTATGGGCCCTTCCAGATCCGCATCCAGGACATGAAGGAACACCCAGAATATACTGTGAGACAGCTTACCATCCAGGTACCACCCCTGAAGCAGGCCGATGGGAGTTTGGACCACTCTAGCATCTCTGGAACTCAGGCTCCACCTTCACTAAGGACCAATTTTACAAATTTAAGCCTTGCTCCCTCCTACATTTAAAAGAGGTGCTATAAAAGAAAAGGAAATGGGTACAAACCTCTGGGACACCTGTAATTTAAGAGCGATGCACAAAAAAACAAATGGGGACCACCAGGAAGCATCCCCCTCCCCATGCTACATATCCAGGCTCCAGGAGAAAGGAGAGACTCAGGAGAATGCTGGAAGAATGAGGAGTGGTCCAAAGAGATGTGCCAACATGCATGGATGCACTGTAAAAAACGCTTTCTAGGGGCCAGAGAGATTGTTCAGTGGGTAAAGGTGCTTGATGCCAAGCCTGAGACCTGAGTTCGATCCCCGGACCCCACATAGTGGGAGGAGGGAACTGACTGCAACAACACAGCAAGTCTCCCATCTAGAGTGAGGGAGGGAGGGAAGGGAGCGAGGGAGGAAGGGGGGAAGAAGGGAGCAAGGAAGGAAGGGGGAGGAAGGGAGAGAGGGAGGAAGGAGGGAGGAAGGCAGAGAGGAGGGAACTGACTGCAACAACACAGCAAGTCTCCCATCTAGAGTGAAGGAGGGAGGGATGGAAGGAAGGAAGGGGGAGGGAGGAAGGGAGAGAGGAGGGACTTGCTATTGCTGTACACATTCTTACAGTTTCAAATCATTTTTGTGTCAATTCATTGTTTCCCAAGCATCCTGGGAAGTAAACCAAAACAATATCATTGTGCCTGCTTACTAGGGAAGAAAATGAGACCAATGTACTTACCCACACTTGAGTGATAGAGGCAGAGCCAAGACTCGAGCCTGGGTCTTTCCCTCTCACAAAACACTCTCCTTCCTTGAATTTCGGAGTGGTTCAGGTAGAAGATAAATTGCAAATCAGCAGGAGAAAAAGCTTTGCCCGCTCTGAGTCCATGTCCGGTACTCACTTGCAGGCACCAGGAGTAAGCAGCAGCCATGTCCACATCCGGGTTCTCATGCCTTGTTCTCTCATTTTCTCATACCCTAGCACCAAAAGGAATGCCGCTCAGTGAAGCACATACTCTTCTCTGCCTGGCCAGACCACCAGACTCCAGAATCGGCGGGGCCCCTGCTGCGCCTGGTGGCTGAGGTGGAGAGCCCAGAGACAGCAGCCAACTCTGGGCCTATCGTGGTTCACTGCAGGTAGGGCATCCCCAGTCCCAGCCTAGAACCAATGCTTGCCCTCCCTAGCCACTAGGTCTCTTATGGGGAGGCGTCCAAGTAATACCACACCAGACAGACCAACCCTTACCTGGACAGGAATGTCCAGTTCAAGAGATTCGTATCATTGCCTCTTTTCTGCCGAGCCCTGTCTTATGGGCCATCTCTAGTCAGGTAGAGAAGAGATAAACATGGCCTCCACTGTGGGGGAGTTCACTGGCTCATTGAACAATGTTTTGTTTGCTTGGGTCTTTTAGTGCTTGTGGAGCTTTGTTTTGTTTTGTTTCGGGTTTTTTGTTTGGTTGGTTGGTTTTGGTTTTTTGAGACAGGGTTTCTCTGTAGCTTTGGAGCCTTTCCTGGAACTAGTATTGTAGACCAGGATGGCTTGGAGCTCACAGAGATCCTCCTGCCTCTGCCTCCTGAGTGCTGGGGTTAAAGGCTAAAGGCTACATGACTGCTTTTTTGGTTTTGTTGGATTTGTTGTTGTTGTTTGTTCCCAGCCCAAGCATTATTTTTAAATGGTAAGTGTGGAGCATTGGATTCAATTCCCAGCATCCAATCAATAAATAATATAAATAAATAAATAAATAAATAAATAAAACTAGCAAATCTAGGTGTTTTAGACAGTTCCACAAGGTCCCTTCATGAAGTCCTTACCTGCCTTCAAGACCGGTTTCCCACCAGTGTCTCCACATATGAGCTCCAGGCTCACCCTCTGACCCTGCCATTGGCAGTGAATCCTTTTTCAGTTTATTCCCTGGCATGTGGTAGAGACAGGAGGATTGGGAGTTCAAAGCTACTCTAAGCTACATAGGGAGTTCAAGATCAGCCTGGGCTACATGATACCATGTTGAGAGGGGGGAAGGGGGAGAAGGAGGAGGAAGAAGAGGGGAAGAGTACAAACAGGGCATGCCTGAACCCATGCAGAGGAGGCACACATGCAGACATAAGCACTGGGAGTCACTGGAGGGTTCTATTAGAAACACATGTGAGGCTTATCTAAGGGGCAGTGAAGGCAAGAAAGAAAGGGTGTGAGGGAAGAGAGAACAAAATGTCGAGGTGATAGAGCCAAGAAGAGGGCAAAGGAAGAGGACGGAGGCCCGAGAGCGTCTGTGGAAGCTGGTCTGAAGCTGGGAGGAGCTTGTGGTCAGACAAGGAATGCTCAAGGGGTCAGGCGGTGCACAGGCAGGCATTGTCAGTTAGACACCTTAGACCGTAAACTCACACACAGTCACCAAAACGTGCTCTGGAGCAGGGCGTGGCAGTGCACCCCTGCTGAGCATCCTCCAGGCTGCAGCAGTGAGACTAGTGTAAGGTCCTTCTGGGCTACCCGGCTAGACAACAAGGCACCTCAATGGGTAGAGGCGCCTGCAGCCAAGCCTGGCAGCCTGGGTCCAATCTCTGGGATCTACATGGTCTAAGGAGAGAACTGATTCATGAAGGTTGCCTTGTAACCTTCATACAGGCACACACTTGCCACACACAAATTAAAGTAAATAAAAACATATTTTTAAAAACCTGCGTAAGCCGGGCGTTGGTGGCGCACGCCTTTAATCCCAGCACTTGGGAGGCAAAGGCAGGCGGATAGCTGTGCATCTGAAGCCAGCCTGATCTAACCAGTGAATCCCAAGTCAGCAAGGGTTACATAGAGAGGCTCTGTCTCAAACAGACAACAAAACCCGAATAAAAAAGACTGGGTATGGTGGCACCCTTCTGTAAGCCCAGGACTCAGGAGGATTACAGGGAGTCTGGGCTATATAGTAAGTTCCAGGCAGCCCTGGGCTACAGAGTAAAACTCAATCTCAAAAAAAAAAAAAAAAAAAAAAAAAACTAAAATCTGGGCAATAGGGATGTACACATATAATCCCCACATTTAAGAAGTGGGCATGGGGAGATCAGAGGTTCAAGGCCAACCTGGACTACATAGCAAGTTCCAGGCTAGCAGGGCTTATGAACCTCTATCTGGAAAAAAAAAAAAACAATCTATTCTTAAAGTTCATAGAGCCAGTCATACTGACACTCACCTTTAATCCCAGAACTCAGAAGGCACATGCAGGTTGATCTTTGTGTGTTCAAGACCAGCCTGGTCAACATAGTGAATCCCAGGACAGCCAGAGCTACATAGTGAGATCCTGTCTCAAAAAACCAAAAAAATAATTAATTAATTAAAGTCCATAGGAACCAGAAGGCAAATGATGAGCTGGGCTAGGCCTAGAGTGAAGCTGTCCAGGATGAGCTATTATCTGCCTCCATCAGGGATGCCAGGGATGCTGAGGTTGGAGGTTTGAAAGCTCTGCCCCAGTCCCATTTCTTCTTTCATTGCTCGAAGCCTGGCCCCAACCTTCCTGCTCACCTATCTTCCCTGTTCCCTGTTCTCCTGTGACATGCTGTCCTCTCTCTGGTTACATCCAGTGCAGGGATTGGCCGGACAGGCTGCTTCATCGCCACCCGCATCGGCTGCCAGCAGCTGAAGGCCCGAGGGGAAGTGGACATTCTGGGCATCGTGTGCCGATTGCGCCTGGACAGGTGGGTCTATAGGAAGCAGGTGCAGCCATGCTAATTGGCAATGGCATTGGTGGTTCTGAGGTATTGGGCACATCACCCTCAGGCCATCCTAGAAGAAAACAAGGAACCCATTTTATTTAAAAAGCTTTCTATTTTGTCAATACTTAAACCCGCATGAAAGATCATCTGAAATGTTAACTTGGGAACCTGGAGTTAAACATGTCAACCTGAATTTTCCCTCAATACCCCCCAAATTCTCTACTCAGGGGACAGCAGGGAAACAAGACACAGTCACAAGAGAGGTCAGAGAGGTATGATACTGCATGTCTGAAATCCCAGCACTCAGGAAACTGAGGCAGGTGAATGGGAAATTCAAAGCCAGTGTGGGCTACTTGGTTAGCTCAAGACCAGGGTGAGCTACAGGGGGAAACTCTGTGTTGATTTATTTTCTAAAAAGATACAACTTGTCACAGATACAAGGTAGCTATGATACTCACTGGGCTTGGAGGAGGAGAAGCAGGTTTTTGAGCCACTAGCTGTTACCGTAATTCTGCCCCCTCCATTTGTTTGAGTCAGAGTCTCTGTGTGTTCCTGGGTAGCCTGGAGCTTACTGTGTAGACTAGCCTGACCTGGAACTCACAGAGATCTACCAGCATCCAGCTCCCAAGTGCTGGGATTCCTTAATCCCACCACACTAAGCACCTCCATTTTTATCTAGAAAGATAATATCTATTTCTCCAATTGGAAAAAGAAATGGGTTCACTTCTGTGAGTGTTCTAGAAATGGGACCTACTTGTTCACATGTGGGGATAACTTTTTGTTTCTTTAAATCTATTTTATGAACATTCATGAGAAGGTCTCAGATTCCCAGGAACTGGAGTTACAAACAGTTGTGAGCTGCCAGGCTGGGAATTGAACCTGGGTCCTCTGGAAGAGCAGCCAATGCTCTTAACCGCTGAGCCATCTCTCCAGCCCCGGGTTAACTGTTTTTATTGACAAGTGGAAAACTTGAGCATGGGACCCAAACTGAGAAATCAAATCTGATTTTGCTCAAAAGCTGGGTGGATAAGGGACAGAGAGTCCAGATGGGGCACTGCCCCCTGCACCTCCCTCCTTGGAGCTGCCCTGGGAGGGGGCAGTAAAGAGGAAGTGAAAAGGAGAGTCAGAGCTTTCCCAGCAGGAGGATGAGAGGGAATGCCTGTGACCCAGGGCAGGTGCCCTGGGCCCTTCCTTACCGTGTGCTTCTGCTTACAGAGGCGGCATGATCCAGACTGCAGAGCAGTACCAGTTCCTGCACCACACGTTGGCCCTGTATGCAGCCCAGCTGTCCCAGGAGCCCAGCCCCTGAACCCCAGCCCTCCTCCAATCCAGGGACCAGCCTCCCCTCAGGCCTGGGACCATGGACCTGGGGAAGTGGGCTGTGTGCAGCTCTGGGGCAGCTCCTTCATAAGCCCAGGAAAGGAAGCCCCAGTGGTGAGAATGCTTACAGTCCAGGAAATTGTTCCAGCAAGCAACAGGGGCCAGGCCACGGGTCTTCACCATGACCACTCTTCTGCCTTCTCCAGTGGCCCCCGTGGACTCTAGGGGAGCTTCTGGTGGCTCTGAATTTATAGATTGGAGCTGGTACTTGGAATGGATTGAGAAAGAAACTGGGGAGCTGGTTTTCTTTCACATGCCCTCTGTGGCCTTTTTTACTTGTTGATGACATAAGCCGTCTGTCATAGAAGCAAACAGATGTTCCTGAAAGCCATTCCAGATGTAGCCAAACTATTGGGGCTGCTGAGGCAGTCACTGCAGGATTCTCTTCCATTAAGGCCTTGGCCACACACAGGCCAGATGCAAGAGCAGGGAAAAGTCTCGTCTAACGTTGGCTAAATCTTCTACATCCCAAATAGACTGCTCCTGCCCATACACCCGTGAGTGCTAGATGACCCCTCAGAAGAGAGCAAGGACCCTAACCGGCTTGCCTCCACACGTGTCGCAAAAGGAGATGCAGAGGTAACCAGTCTAGCAACTGAGATCACCGAAAGAGCCCAAGTGTGATGATGCATCCCTATCATCCCAAGAACACTCAGGAAGCCAGGCATTGGTGGCGCACACCTTTAATCCCAGCACTCAGGAGGCAGAGGCAGGCGGATCTCTGTGAGTTCGAGACCAGCCTGGTCTACAAGAGCTAGTTCCAGGACAGGCTCCAAAGCCACAGAGAAACCCTGTCTCAAACAACAAAAACAAAAAACAAACAATAAAGAGCACTCAGGAGCAGAAGCAGGAGGATTGCTGCAAGTTTGAGACTGGCTGGCGAGATCTACATTTTGAGTTCCAGGTCAGCCAGAACTACATAGCAAGACCTCTTAAATTGCCAAAAACAAAACAAAACAAAACAAAAAAAACAGCACTCTTGAGCTCCCTGGAAGAGGTAATGTATGGGGACCATTCAGAGCATTCAGAGATCAGCAGGCTCCCGCTGCCTCTATGACTTCCTGCCATCTGTTCCCCTGCCACTCTCTAGGGAAGCTCAGCACACTCTGCTTGCTTCCATGGCTTTAGAGCATTCCCTGGATACCCATGAAGTACCAAAGAAAGAGAAGGAGAAACAAAGGTTCTGGAAAACCTACCCACCCTACCTTCCTGGGCCTGTATTTTGTTGCAGAGCACACCTGGACAGCTTAACTGGTTCCAGAAACAGGCTGGGCTGCTACCACTGCACACAGCACAGGGCTAAGACAGAGCCTCAGGCCTCATCCATCTCAACATCGGTACAATTTTCAGGGGACCCACAACCTATCTCAGGGGTGAACTATATACCCCAGAAAGCCAGAGAAACCCTGAGTCATCTTTGATCCAGTTTGGGCTGCCTGTGAGGATGAAGGCAAGACACTATCCCTGCAGTCTGGACCTCAGCTCCTAGATGTGCTGTGGTTGGCCTGACTCCTCTGTGAAAACCATCAGGAGCTCGGTCCTGGTGAGTGCCCTATGACTTCATGGCATCTCTCTGAAGGACACAGGTGCTGCTGGGCATGGTGGCACAAGCCTATGACCTGCACTTGGAAAGTAGAGGCAGGAGAATCAAGAATTCCAAACTAAGCCGGGCGTTTGGTGGCGCACACCTTTAATCCCAGCACTCGGGAGGCAGAGGCAGGTGGATCTCTGTGAGTTCGAGGCCAGCCTGGTCTACAGAGTGAGTTCCAGGACAGCCTCCAAAAAACAATACAGAGAAACCCTGCCTCGGAAAAAAAAAAAAGAATTCCAAACTAGCCTTGACTGTATGAGAGCCTATCTAAAAAAGCAAATAAACAAGAAGAAACTAAAGCAACAAAACTAGTACAATGCTATGGCGGAGGTTAAAATTCTTAGCGCTCTGCCTCGCCCTACCTAGGCACTCCATGTTAGCCTTTGGCACTTCCCTAAGCGCCCTGGAAGGCCTGTGTCCCCCACAGTAAGTTCTAAAGTACCTGGTGCTGCCATGAGCTCAGAGCCAGTCTGGAAGGGAGCAACTGCACAGCACCCTCCCTGCACTGTCACCCCAACCCTGCTCTAGAGGGCACAGGCTCTGGAAAAGCAGCCAAGTAGGAAAAAACAAAGACTTCTTGGATGCCCAGTTAATTCTTTTTTTTTTTTTCCATCTTCTTAGGCCTCTAGGGTTCTCTCTGGCAATACAGTAAGGCTCCCCGGAGCAGGAACAGGCTGTAACATCTTTACCCCTGGGATATATTCTTTTCCAGTATTTCTAAGGACATGAAACAAAATGAAACTGCAGACATTGTAGCAAGAGAGACACGGGGGAGGTACCACCTTACCCCTTCAGGGTGCTGAAACAAAGCACCATACACTGAGTAACTTATTAACAACAGAAATGTGTTGTTTCCAGCTTAAAAGATGGGAAAGCCACCGGTCAAGGTTACCAGTGGATTCCGGGTCTGGTTAGTACTCACTTTGGGGCTTGTGGACACAGCCTTCTCTTTACAGCCTCCTGGCAGGAGAAGTATGGGCCTGGTCTCTAGCCCTCTCCTTACCCTCTCCTTATAAAGGTACTGATCTATTAGGAGTGCTCTACCCTCATAACCTGTCACCTCATAAGGTCACTTTGAGGTTTGGGATTTCAACATATGGATCTGGGTGAAAGACACAGAAATGTTGAGCAATGAAACCTATTATTTGTATGATAACTTTAATTTAAGAAATTCAGACTACAGCGTGTGCCTTCAGAGCAATAGAAGAACAAAGGGCAGATGTTCCTTAATAAGTAGGAACAACCGGCTCATCCAAGATGTTGGGAGTCACCTAACTCTTGGGTAAGTTTGATTCATACCGTTGATATTGGTTAAGACAACAGATCCCATCTAAGTCAGTATGCTTGAAAACCGACCCCAAAGGAGCGACTGGTGGGAACACGGTAGAAGAAGTCCAGCTGCCCTGGGATCCCGGGACCGGAAAGATCCAGCCAGTTGAATCCCGGGACTAGGATTAGCTCCTGCAAGGGAGGGTGGGGACATCTTGGCAGGCCCTCCACCGCCCACCACAGAAAACTTTGCTTACTACCAAACAGCACACATTTTTCTTTTGCCACTGACGTTCCTCCCTGGGAATCCCCTGTGCTGATTTTCCCCTTTTCCATATGGTGACAATACTGGTAAAGATCAGCGTCAAGTTCAAACATCTATCTCACTTTGGGCTTCCTAAACAAGTGGCCTGGTAAACTGTGGTTAACAAAACAAGATGGAGTACTAAAGGCTCTAAATCCGGCTGTTACTCTCCATGGCAATTCGGGGGATGGGACTCGGTACCCAGGGATGCTCAGAGGGAGCATCCTTTCTTGGAAATCTTCGTGCCACCGTTCTTCAGCCTGGAAATGCTCTAGCTACTCGCCTCGGGCGGACCAACCTTTCAAGACAGAAAGCGGTGCAGTCAGGGCGGGGCAAACGAGGGCAGCAGAGAAAATAAAATTACAGCTTTCTCCGCAAGCTCCCCGTCACTCTTCTCCCGGCCGCCGCAGGTTCCCGGAGCCCCGCCCGCGGGCGCTGGCCAAGGCGGTGCGCGAGCCTGGAGCGCGCTCGGGTGCGAGCAGGACGCGGCCCGGCCCGCTGGAGGGCGGCGGCGGCGGCGGCGGCGGCGGCGGGGGAGGAGGAGGCGCTGAGGCCACACCCATCGGCGAGCGGATCCGCGGGCAGCGAGTCGTCGGCCGCCGCGCTCCAACCTCCGCCCGCACCGAGCCGCGGGACCCGGCCGCACCGGGGAGGGGCCGCTCCGGGCCGCAGCGCGAGGGCAGCGAGGGCGGCGGGGACCCGGCACCGGGCGCGGCCGGCGGCAGCGACCATGATCGCTTTGTTTAACAAGCTGCTGGACTGGTTCAAGGCCCTGTTCTGGAAGGAGGAAATGGAGCTCACGCTGGTGGGGCTGCAGTACTCGGGAAAGACCACCTTCGTCAACGTGATCGCGGTACGAGGGCAGATGTGTCAGCCCGCGCCGCGCCCTAGGCGGCCGGAGTCGCCGCCTGGCGTGGCCGGGCACCGCCGGGCGCTGGGCAGGGAGGAGCCGGCTCCGGGCGCTTGGGGCCTAGCACGGTTCTTGGGGGACCAGCTGGCGTGCTAGTGGTTCTCAGGCCTGGGCTGGGATGGCAGGGCTGGGGGCGGGGTAGCGAGAACCAGGGGACTGAGCTGGAGTTATGGGGCTGGTGGCACCGAGAGGTCTCCAGGCACCGGGAACCCGCCGCAGGCTGACAGGCCCCCGTGGCTCGGGCACAGGGGGCATGACAGGGCGAAAGTGCCTGGGCCTTCCCGCTCCGCGCGTGGAGGGTCACGGGACGCGCCGCCGGAGCGTGTTACCAGGGGGTCCTCCCAGTCCAGCCCCACCCCGAGGGCTCTGTGTCCTCTCTGCTGGACGCGGAAGCCCTGGTCCATTTGGGCCGGGGAAGGTATCCCTAGAGGCAGAGGAGTCAGATGAGGTCCTGACTCCAGCCCAGACTCCTCCCCGGAACCTGTCCCGGGCCTGCGGTGTCGCGGGGGTCCAGGATGGATGGCACCATAAAAGGAGTTGGGAGACTCCACTTGGCTCAGAAGTTGCAGGAGTAGGTACTGTGGACCCGAGGGGCGCCATCCACTTGGGGATAGGAGACAGAGCCGCTCCGGGGGCTTTGGGGAGTCAGGCCTGGGGGTGGGGCGACTGCAGTTGTATGTCTGTGCCAGAGGAGTGGTGGAGAAGGAGTTAAATTTTCTCTTTAAAAAAGAGGAAGATGAGCTCCCTGGGTGCGTGAGCTGAGCTGCAGTAATGGCTGCAGCCTGTATTTCAAAACTAGGCAGGTCTGGGCTTTGGGGACCCGGGAAAGCTTGGGACAGGGGCATAGTTTTTCCCGAACCCAGCCTCATTCCCAAAGATAAATTTTTCAAGAGAGCTGTGAATTAGCCAGATACCGGCAAAAAAAAAAAAATACTAATGTGCCGGTCTGTAAAGGTGTGTGACCAGCCAGCTTCGGTGCCACCACTTGCCTGTATTGTTTTGTTGCCCAGCCTTGAAGCCCAACAGAACTCAGCATCCTTGCTGGAGAGCCCTTCATAGAGGATAGTAGTACGCTGGGCAGATGGAAGGCTGGAATTGGGCATGGGCGTTCTCTCTCTCTCTCTCTCTCTCTCTCTCTCTCTCTCTCTCTCTCTCTCTCTCTCTCTCTCTCTCTCTCTCTCTCTCTCTCCTTCTCCTTCTCCTTCTCCTTCTCCTTCTCCTAAACATGCTTTGCCATTGACCTCTATACCCTCCTCTACCCAGTGTTCCTTTATTCCACAGGACCTCTGCTGAGGTTTAGGACATAATGTTTTTCTGAACTAGCACACTCCTCTGGCTTCTGTCTGTCATGCTGTGTCCCTAGGATCAGAAACCCTGTTTAGGCTTAGTGTTGACTTGCCTCTTGGGCTATCAGAGCAGGAAATCAACACCTGGATTACCACCTATCTGCAGACCTAGGTGGCTTGGTTTGGGGCATTTAGGTCTGGAAGACATTTCTGATATTTCTCAAAAGGAGAAACTAGCTGCTTGGACTCAGCCTAGACATCACCTCCTGTCCCTAGGGAGTGTCAGTAAAGCCATAATTCTGTATACACAGATACCGTGGTGAGTTCAACTTCTTGGCCTGGACCTGCCCTTCAAGACCAGCATCTTCTCAGAGTATGGAAGGCTATGACAGGCCAGGGATGGAAACCAAATTTTCAAATTCTACTGCCAGAGTCAAGAGGTTCTCTGAAACTAAGTATGATGGAACATGCCTGTAACCCCATCACTCTGAATGCTAAGACAGGATCCCAAGTCTGAGAGCAGCCTGGGTCATAGAGAGAAAGAGACTTAGTCTCAAAAAAAAAAAAAGAAAGTTTGTATGCTGTTCAACATCCCTCCATTCCCCAGCTCCTGTATTCTCCATTTTGATATAAAATTTACCACTTTAAAAGAGAAGCCAAATTTCTCTTCTTTGAAGAGGCTCTGACTACCCCCTTGGTGGCGGCAGGGAATTCCAGCATCTGGGTAACTCCAGCAATCTCAAGCCCACCAAAGTCCCCACAGGCATTCTGCCACTCCCTGTACAAAGCAGAAAGATTTGGGACCCCCGGGCTCTGCGCCCATACCCACCACTGACTTTCTGAATTGCCGTTGCCTATTACTTGGCCCCTGTTTGTCTCAGCAAACAGAGGGAAACCCTTGTGTTTTTACCCTGACTCTGAGATCTGGCTGTGCATAGAGTTTAGTGAGCCCGGGTGCTCAGCAGGTTGAATGTGAACTAGAAGGTACCTACAGAGCCATTGGAGCGTGTCTGAGAAACAGAAATCTACTGAGTACCAAGAAAGCTGTGGTACTGGAAAAGGGGGAGATACGTTTTTGTCCAAGAGAAACAAAAAGTCATTCTTTTTTCGTTGAGACCCAGTCTGGTCCTGAGCTCTGATTCCTCTTGTCTCATCTCCCTAGGCGTGAGTTGCCATGCCCATCAAGGAGGTCATTCCAAGTGTCTTAAAATATGAGAGGTTATCACCATAGAACTAGTCTTGGAGTACCCAAAAGGACGAAAGAACAAAGGGGAGAAGTCATAGGAAGATGCATTTTTGAGTCATAAAAGATGTTTCTAATAATTTGAACTAACCCAAGAGGGAGTGAAAGCCTAGCGTAGAGTGCACACCTTTAGCCCTAGCCATTTGGGGACCGAGGCAGGAGGATCGGGGGTTGAGGCCAGTCAGAACTACATCATTAAAAAAAATAAAAAATGGAGGAGCCAGGGGTGTAGCTTAGTTGGCAGAGAGCTTGCCTAACGTGCAGAAAGCCTTGGCTTCAAGCCCCAG